TTGTTCTTGTGTAATCTGTTGTGGTCTCACCTTCACACTTCATCACAAACATGATATCTGACCAGGATTCATTTTCTGCTCTGGTAACATTCCTCAGTCTCGGCTGCTTCCTGCTGCTTGTTATGTCTCTGGGCCAGCAACAGCCAGAGCCGGAGCCATACTATTTTCAGGACGGGCACCTGTCCTATTCTCGTGGACACAATATCTCAGTAACACCTGGTAGGAATCTCTTCAAATTTGGCAACAAACATTCACTTGGACTCAAGCACGAATTGATTCGATTTTGGTGGTCAATGGTCTGACATCATTCACAAATGCTGTTGCTAAGTGAGGATGAGTAAAGCGTGTATGGTCAGATTAAGAAAAAAAACAAGGAGCAGAAATACAGCAAGCAGGAGCTTTTAAATGCTAAAAGTGGTTATAAGCATTAGCTGCTCTTGCACCAACCTGTTACCATCGCTGAGGTTACCTATGTTGAGTTTAGGGAAAGGAGGAGCACTTGTGAGTCACATGGTCTTATTTAGCTAGTAGTTTGTGTGGGTCCAGCTGGCAGAATGTTTTTTGATTGGTGGGGAAGGAAAATGTGGATGTCAACAACTGTTTTTGATTCCCTGAACCCTATCATAAACCTTTTCACCTGTCTGCAGCTGTCTGCTCCTGCTTCCTTCATTTGAGCTTGTGAGCTGAAGGTTGCCTCTGGCCTGACAGGATAAATCAGGTACTGGAACTATAGAAGCTTCAGATCCTGACCTGCACATATTTTATCAGTCAGTGGTGGACAGTGTACTCTTTTATACTGCAGTCTGCTGGGCCAGCAGCATGTCCGACATGAACACAAGGAGACTGGACAAGCTGGTCAAAAAGGCTGGGTCTGTGCTTGGCAGGAGTCTGGACTCACTCAGGACTGTTGTGGAGAGACACATGCAATGTAAGATGGAGGCCATCTTGGACAATACCAACAACATTCTGGCAGGACAGAGAAGCAGCTACAGCTGCAGCAAACATCTCATCTCACTGCGCTGCAGAACAGATTATTGTTTACTTATTATTGTTAATCTATCTATCTATCTATCTATCTATCTATCTATCTATCTATCTATCTATCTATCTATCTATCTATCTATCTATCTATGCATCGATCTATCTATCTACTTGGCATGTGTACAGTGTATTGACAGAATTCTTCACACTATCTTTTGTTTCTGTTGCTGTGAACTTTAACCTGAAATTTATCTTTGTCATTTAACAAAACAAAATCTGAATTTGAGTGTATAACTAATTAGTTATCCAAGGTTGAGTTTCAGTTTCCATGCAGGGATCAGTGTTGTTCATTTATCATGAACTCACTCTGACCTCTAGTACAGACTATGGGGACCATCTGTGGCCACTGTTGGTACTGCCTGGACAAACTTATTGAAGTGTCAGTATAATTTTATCTCAAACCAAAGTTCAGTCTTTTACATTGTAAATCCTATTGCTTTATATGGAGAGAAGCATTTATGTATCATACAGACAGATACAAACAGGTGCTGTACCTACATCCTGAAATAATTATACACAACTCATCCCCTATGGCTGACATTCTTCTTGACTCTCTTAAGTTAAAAGTTTGATTGAAAGACTCTGTGCCATAAAATATTCTGACTTTGGTCATTTTTAGTCATTTTTACCACAATACATGCATTACACTCACTCACACTCAATCACAGCCTGTCTGCAGTTTATAAAGGTTCGAGTGATAACTTCCTCAAAGATGGAAGTATTACACAAATACTTGTATTGTGCCTTATCTGTTGGTCTCTAGTTCCCCACATCCAATCAGACATTAAAACGTTGTGCAATGTCTAATTCTATCGTGTCCAATCTGAAACTTTGTGTATAACCTGTCAACATGGTGACAGAAGAAGAATCTGATCATGTTTTTAAGTCAGGACATGTACTCTACTTATATTTTTTTGCTAATTTCACTCAAGATGTCAGCAAGATGCTGAAAAGAAAAATGTTTTAGCATAAATAAAGAGTTAATTATTTCTTTTCTATTATCTAATTTTCTTCTTATTACAGAAATAATTATATTAATAATGTTTCATTTTAAGAAATCAATATGATCAATAAGATGCTGTTTTTTATGAATGAAATATTTTCAAGTGCATGAAGTGGTTTAACCACTGAAAACCCCAGACTTGGGGGACCTGTAATGGATGAATAAATGGATTGTAATACATTGGGGATTTTGCTATAATGAGTTTTGTGCACAGACCTTTAAGAATTTAAAGATCCACAGATTAAATATTACCAACATTTAAAATTTAAATAAAGTATCATGATAAGTACACCCTGAACTCACATTTTCATAAAAAGAAATAAGTCCCTTAAAAAAAAACACTGTATGGATGCCTTTCAGTTAAGTCACTTAAAAACCTCTTAATCAGACAGAAAACCCATTAGAAAAATCTTCAGTCAATCAACTGTCATTTAGACTTGTGTTCAGACCCTGTGCTGTGGCTCTCTTAAATGTTGTCAGTTTAATTTGATTTTCCTTTAGATGTATATAGAACTTGGCTCTATAAAGCTAAGCCCAAAATTATCTTAATTAATCATTAATTATAATTAATCTTACCCCTTCCATTTTTTCTCATTTTATTATGTTGCTGCCTTATGCCAAAATAAAATTTAAAAAAATCCTTTTCCCCTCACCAATCTACAGTCAATACAGCATAATAAAAAGAAAGTCAAAACAGAATTCTAGAAATTTTTGTTAATTTATTAAAAAGGAAAAACTGAAATATCACATTGACATTAGTATTCATACACTTTGCTATGTGATGTCAACTGCATCATGTAATAATACAGTTCAAGCACTTGAAATTTCAAGTGTCTGAACTGCATTATTACATTATATTATTACATTATTGCATTATTATATCGGAAAAACTCAGGAGGATCTTCAACAAACACCGTATCCCTGTGTATTTCAAACCCAGCAACACACTCAGACAGAGGCTGGTACATCCCAAGGACAGAACACCACACACCCGCAAAAGCAATCTGGTGTATGCAGTCCAGTGCAACGAGGAATGCAATGCCCTCTTCATTGGAGAAACAAAACAACCACTGCGTAAACGCATGGCCCAACACAGGAGAGCTAACTCCTCAGGCTTAGACTCTGCTGTCCATTTACATCTCAAGGAGAAAGCCCACTCCTTTGAGGACAGCAATGTTCACATCCTAAGCAGAGAGGACAGGTGGTTCGAAAGAGGAGTAAAAGAGGCCATCTATGTAAAAGTAGAGAAACCATCCCTCAACAGGGGAGGAGGTCTCAGACACCATCTATCTCCAATTTACAATGTTGCCCTTTCATCCCTTCCCAGGAGATTCAACAATCTAGCCTCAAAGAATAACAACTGTTCACAAGTGGCAAGTGACTCCAACGACTGTCGTTATAACACAATAGAGAACTAACGAAGTCGAAACCAACTTTCCACCAACGACAGTCATGCAAACGACTGTCGTTGACACTTGGAGCACAAAAGGGAACCAGTGACATCATCAGCCTTGTGAACGCCCACAAGAGGTTAAATACCTGGGTCTCCACACCAGAAAGTTGGACCAGTCCCAGCCTGGTCAGATGCGTACATGAACTGATGAAGCCTCTTGGATGAGAGGTGAAACGTCTTCCCAGACAAATAATCAAGTCCAGTTGTTTTTTTCGATTTAAACTCCTTTAGGATACTATGACCTGGACAAATAAGAATATGCACAGGCTGATTATTATATGAGTGCTCAGTAGTCATTACTACATATGTACTACATATACAGTATATTAAATGAGTCAGGGGCCGACCCAGACCCATCTCCAAACTCTGCCTTCATTTTGATCTCAGCGTGACTGTATCTTGTAAAGCTGTGTGTTGTGATGGTATCATGGTGACAAAACCTGTCCACAGGCTGTTGTGGGGTAGAAAGTACAATATTTCCTCTCTCGTGGCATTTGGCTGACCAGTATGATCACTTGGTCAGTCAGTCAGTGACATTCGCCATTATAGGGCTGGCCCCTGCTGTTGTGGTCCATCAAAAAGAATAACTAACCCACCACAGCTGTACAAAAGACTATTAACATGAAATAATAAACTCTATATTGATGTCAAAACATATCTCTACAACAACTAATCCTCCATTGTCTCGCTGCTAATGACTGAGGCAACATTGGAAATGATACGGTGCTAGCTAGCTAACATTAGGTAACTAAACTGAAAACTAAGGCTAAAGTTAGAAACTAGCTGACATTAACTGTAACTTAAACAAAAGTTAATATCAAGGTTTAGAAATTGTATGGTCCACTTAGTAAAGTGGTCCAAGTGAGACTCCCCCAAAGCCCCCCTAATTCACACCCTGCTGCCCAAGTACCCAAAACCACCTCAGTAGTAGTTCCTGCTACTGTACGTGTGTCCAGGGACATTTACCATGATGACACACACACACACACACACACACACACACACACACACACACACACACACACACACACACACACACACACACACACGGTGGTTACCATATGATATTCATTGTGTGGAGGATGTGGACATCTGTAACCTGTAACACACCTTTTATAGGACTGAACAAACCAAACAAAGGGACATCTTCAGCCTGTCATCCGCAGTCGTTACTAATGAATCAGGAGTTTACTTATTACTCAGTGGAACCAGTTTTTTTGAATAAACCAGTTAATCCTGTTCCTGTCATTGGCATTATAATGTCATTATAATATCATTATCAGATCAACATAAGCTTTATTTTGTAGTATTAAGGCCGATGTGTGTTTGCTGTTTGGTTGAAAGGTGCTCCTATTTTCAGGTACGAATGAATCACACATTTTGGACTTCTCTCGCCCCCACCCTTCTCCGATCTCGTCCGCTTACACCCGAGCGCTTCCGAAATATAACTCGTGGTCTCATTTCATTGGCTGGACGTTTGTCCAATGAGCAGCGGCCATCTGTGCAGGGCTCGGTGCAGTTGAAGTTCTCGGGTTACGTTTCCTCCGGTCTTTATTAGCTGCTTCCTCCTCGGCTCTGCTCTCTTCACCCCAAGGAGCTGGACTCAAGTTGCAGACATGAAGCTTCCAGTGGCCATTCTTGCAGTTTTTGCATCGATAGCTGTCACTATTGACGCCACCGTCTACTTCAAGGAACAGTTTCAGGATGGAGGTGCAGTACAGCCAATTCCACGTCTCATGTAGTCTGTGTAGGCCTTTGAATGATTGTGTTGTCAAAGTGTCTGCTTTAACCGACTTCAACAGTGTAATTTCTCTCCTCAGTGTTTGCTCTGTTACATAAAATAACCTTACTGCTTTACTTTAGCATGTTAAAATGGAGCTAGGCCATCTCATTTCTATTAGTCAAGTGAGAGATAATGTTAGCTTAAAAATACAGGTAAAGTAGCCTAATACAGCAATAAAGTAAATGTTCTAATATTGCTTTTAAATTGTAAGCTCTCTTTATCTTGTCAAGCAACTAGAATACCAAATAATTCTTGAAGTGACATCCTCATAAGTTCCTTTCACTTTTGATATCTCTCTGAACAGCGCTGAGGTCTTTCAGGTGAAATCGAGCTGGGCTGCTTCAGCTCTTCTGTTAAAATAGAATAAAATAGTCAGAATAGAAGCAGAACTTCAATGGAAAAACTAACAAGATCAGATGTGAGCTGTACAAACTGGAGACTGAAAATGGTATTGGTGTCAAATCAAAACCCCTGTCATCGAACACCTCTTTCAGACTTTATTTTCTTTAAACATCAGCTTTGATTATGAAGTCTGTGCTGCAAAAGCAGTGCAGCAATGTAATGTAGATGTGAAACATGCAGTACAATAGATGTGTAATGTAGTTTGGTAATATTGCATTAACTAGCAGAAGTAGGCAACTGCCGTGAGTGACCAGCTGAGTGTGACTGCTGTGTTCCAGATGGATGGAAGAGCCGGTGGCTGGAGTCGAAGCACAAGTCAGACTACGGCCAATGGAAACTGAGCGCTGGAAAGTTCTACGGGGACGCCGAGGCTGATAAAGGTAATTCTTACTCTGTCACAGACACAATTGATTCTAATGGATTTGTCTGAAATTAGCATGTTTGCATATGTCAGATGCTTGGTGATAGTGTCTTATCATGCAAATGTAGGTAAAACAGGTTTGGTGTATGACCTGCTCTTAGCAGAGATTATTTCCAGGACTGGAATAACCTGTCAGAGGCCCTGGGCCCCTATTAACAGCCCAGCCTCTTAATGTATTGGGTACAATTTTCTGGACCTCTCCCTGGCTCCTTGCTTTGTGGAATTTGTGATTTGTGTTTAATTAAACACAAATGAATCAAAGAATATTTAACATAAAAACTACATTTTTGACGAGGCGCGTTTTTAGGACACAAGCTCAAGATTCCACATCAACCCACTGATGTCTGCTGATACTATACTATACTATAGTATAGTGATGTGTACTTTTTTTTTTTTTAATATCTTCATTTGGGATACAACAATGAATATAGAAATATATGATTACAAGTATTTCCCTTTTTTTTATGGCAGGAACATCCACCAGGCCCTCAAATAAGGCCTTGAGGTCAAGAATTCACAAACACTGTCTCTGTATAGAAAATAACACCAATAATAGATTATAATGTATGAATATATATTTCAAATATCAAATAAGTAATCTATGAAAGAGTTCCATTTATGAAAACACTTTGCTGAGGCACCTTTCACAGAGAATATTATCTTTTCTAACTTAAGAAAATACATGACATCCTTAAGCCACAGAGAAATAGATGGAGCTTTTGGAGGTTTCCATTAAAGTAAAATATGTCATCTTCCAAAAGAGAGGTAAAGGCTAACATATCTAACTGAAGGATTAAGATGGGAAGAGTCAACAGAGACGGTGATGTGTATTCATAAACAAATATTTATTGAAGGAAGCATAAACCTGAACTTTTAAGGCAGCTTCCCAGTTTGCCCAGCTGGTTATATCTCACTCACTGAGTACCTGGCACACAAAAATTCATGATCACTTTTGATAAATATTAAAAACAAGGGAAACCTGATCAATAAGAAATTCCAAACATCAAACTGGGGAAGAGATGTGATCTGATAAGGTCCAAGGAATAAATAATTCTTTACAGACATTATAAAACTTGGAACTACTACTACACAGTTGCAAACAAAGCCTTGAGATCTTGATGCTAACAGCTGTTTGCTTCTATTTAGGTGTTCAGACCAGCCAAGACGCCCGCTTCTACGCCATGTCTGCCCGCTTTGAGCCCTTCAGCAATGAGGGAAAGCCCCTGGTCATTCAGTTCACTGTCAAGCATGAGCAGAAGATTGACTGCGGAGGTGGCTACGTCAAAATCTTCCCCTCTACCCTTGACCAGAGTGACATGCACGGAGACTCTCAGTATTACATCATGTTTGGTGAGTCATGTTTGTCTTGTAGAGTCAACCGAGGTTCACCATAGAACACAACTGTTGGCGAGCATTTGGAGGGATGTTTGCAGTGATTTCTATATTCAGCTGTTTGAAGTTTAGTCATTATTGTGCCTCCTCTGCAGTGTTAAATAAAGGAAATTAAATATATACCATGACCTGTGTCTCCAGGGCCTGACATCTGTGGATACAGCACAAAGAAGGTTCATGTTATCTTGAACTACAAGGGCCAAAACCATCTCATCAAGAAAGACATCAAATGCAAGGTAGTCTCTGCATAAAGCATCTGGAATTATTTAAACTTTTGTCTTCTGAACATGAAGTTTTTTGCTGACTAACTTTCCTACCCCCTTTCCCCAGGATGACGAGCTGACCCACCTGTACACACTGATACTGAATCCAGACCAGACATACGAGGTGAAGATCAACAATGAGAAGGTTGAGTCTGGCTCCCTGGAGGAGGACTGGGACATACTGCCCCCAAAGAAGATCAAGGACCCCGAGGCCAAGAAACCCAGTGACTGGGACGACAGGGCCAAGATCGATGACCCCAGCGACACCAAGCCTGAGGTGGGAGATCCCTTCCTTTTCATGTGTCATGGCTTGTGTTTTTGACCTGATTCTATTTAAAACATACTTAATTAATCCTGTTAATTCTCATACAGATAATTTGGTTCTTTTAACACAGTTTGGGGATTGATTTGTTAATCCTGGATGGATAAAGTTGTCTAGAATGACCATGTGCTCTTATTTTGAAATAAAAGCAAAATGATTAGAGAGTTGAAAGCATGATCAGCAATCATGTGTCTGGATGAGCACAATTAGTTAGGTGTATTGTGCAAGGTGTGAAGTCTCCCAGCATGCACTGGGACTAGATTCCTGGACATTAGTCTTGATTTCTTGTTCTACGTATGTCTGTCACCATAATTTAAAAAAAAAAAAAAAAAAAAAAAAAACCTAGATTTTTTTTTTTGCTGACCTCAAAAGTGTCACCAATATTTTAGCATGATGCCAGAATAAACAGCAGGGTTTTCACTATTATTATATTATCTTATAATATATTATACTATTTATATTATAAGCGTATTTTCACACACACACACAAACACACACACACACACACACACACACACACAAACAGTGACAGCCACAGTGAACCAGGTGAGGGGAACATAATGTGTTGCTGAGGCTAATGGTATATATTAGCATAAATAATTTTTGAGGATTTAAAAATCCTGTATTTCAGCTAAACTAGAATAAAACTGAGGTGCAGACAACTCTGCAACACAATCAGCGCTCATAGGCCTTTGTGAATATAAATGATTCCTGTTTGTTAAAGATTTGGAGACGAAAATTCATCCTTTATTTGCTTAATTGTCACAGAACTTTGTAGGAATAAGTCTCAGCTGGTTCAAACTGTAAGAAGACTGTGTGAGGTTCTCACTGTAAGAAACGTGACCACAGCTCTACTGGCCTCTCGTCACTGGTCACCACTGAAGCTCAGAATCAGTGTGTTTGATCTTTTCTGCTTTTGTTTGATTGTAATCAATTAATTGTGATGATTCCTCTACATCTTACATGTTCTCATCTGAAATCATATTTCAGTCTAAATAACTTGAATGTTTTCACAACTGTTCAAAATTAATTCGAAACCAGCTTTAAAGAACTGATAATCTTGTGTCGAATAGTCAAGGGTCAAATTAAGCTAATTTAGTTTTCATGTACATAGCCCAGTGTGCACCATGTTATGACAAAGTACTTTTAGTAACTCCGGTCCTGCTGTCTTCCAGGACTGGGACAAGCCAGAGACCATCCCTGACCCTGATGCCAAGAAGCCTGATGACTGGGACGAGGACATGGATGGAGAGTGGGAAGCTGCCATGATCACCAACCCAGAGTATAAGGTACAGGGCCTGGGCAGAGCTGTGATTGATCACCATTTAATATTGTGAAGGCATTACTTCTATCTAACTTACCAACACCATCAGTAGTTCTAACTCCTGGCGTCTTGTCTTCGCAGGGAGAGTGGAAACCCAAGCAGATTGACAACCCTGACTACAAGGGATCTTGGGTCCACCCTGAGATCGACAACCCAGACTACACTCAAGATGCCACAATGTACAAGTTTGACAGCATTGGTGTCCTGGGCCTGGATTTGTGGCAGGTAATTTCCACTAACCCACTGAGAACTGTAATAATGAATTACTGTATGTGTTGAAATCAATGACAGCACCGAGTCAAGATAAGAAGAATAATCACTTCTTTCACGTCTTTATTTCTTGAATAAATAATGTGAATGTGTTTTTGTTTAGGTTAAATCTGGCACCATCTTTGACAACTTCCTGATTGCCGATGACGTCAAAGAAGCTGAGGAGTTTGGGAAGGAAACCTGGGGAGTTACTAAGGTAGGACTGTACTTTGAAATACAAAACACAGAAGTGTGTATTCAACACAAAATAAAACATCTGCAGGGTTTGATTCCCAGTAGCACTTTATATTATAAGCGTATTAACACACACACACACACACACACACACACACACACACACACACAACACAATGCGCACAACAGTGACAGCCAAGTGAACCATGTGAGGGAGTGTTGGGTCTATACAAAAAGTACCCTGAGAACTTCTTATGATTTGACATCATATAAATAAATGTACTTGACTTGACATCATTGTAGTTGTTGTTTGAGGTCACTTGGTGAAGCATATCAGGAGAGAGTGATTGGCCATCCCAAAAATAGATAAATGGGTAAAGGAAAAGGCAGAGGAAAAAAAGTAGAAAGGCTTTTCTCACTGCATTCTCGTGTGAACTGGTTCTTGCTGACCTGTCATGGTCACATTCAGGCTCACCCATTAAACGTAGGGTGCAGGTTTTTATCTCTGGCTCCATTTGTCCACAAGCTGAAGTGTAAGACTTGAGGGGGAAATGTAATTCTTTTTGGAAGATGAACTTTGGTCTCAGAGGCAAATTTTATTATATGTTGTTTTCCATAACTGAACTCTTAAATGCATCTTCAGACTTAACTCGGAAAGAGTAAAGTGTAATGAATTTATATAGTGACTGCTCTCACTACTGACAGTGCACACAATGACATTGATGAGTGGAAACACAGTAAAACATTATAATGAATTTATTGAATACGAAGTAAGTTATTAATGTACAATATCATCTGCAGTGTGTAGATAGTTGTAGTCTAACAACAGCATCCTCCTGTTCAAAACATTAAAACAACGCCTGTTTTCCCATCAGGAACCAGAGAAGAAGATGAAGGATGAGCAGGAGGACATGGAGAGGAAACTGAGGGAGGAGGAAGAGAAGAGCAAGAAGAAGGACGCTGAGGGTGATGAGGAGGAGGAGGAGGATGAAGAGGACGGTGAGGAGGACAATGAGGAACAGGACGAGGAGACAGAGGAGGACGCCGGCACAGAGGAGGACGGCGACGTCACACAGAAGGACGAGTTGTAGAGGAGCTGGCCGGAGGACTGCTGTGTGCTTCTCTCTGCAGGTTCAGACTAATGACAGAAAATTAGCAAAAGCCCTATGGACTCTGGCCTTTCATACAGCAGCCTTTTATTCAGGTGTAGGGGTGGGGGAAGGGTGGAAGGTGGGGTCAGATCAGATTTATTTTTTATTGATTCCCTTGTTGCTTTTTTTAGTGTTCAAAGTTGAGAAGGGTTTACATGTTTTTCCTCCTGTTCTGTGTGTTTTCTAATTTAATGTGATTTCCTGAACGTGGTGTGTGTGTGCACCCTGCAGTTCCTCACAGAGCCAAGTCATTTTTATTATTGCCTTTGTTGGGATGTCCAATCAATCGAGGGTTCATGCACTTTTTTGTTCTCCTGTGTGAAGTTGTACTGTTCGTCTCTGGTTGATCCCCTTCATAATTTATTTAATCATCACATTCATTCCCTAAAAACACAAAGCTCTGATTTGTGCATATGTCCTTCCTCCAACTCTGTTTGTGTGTGTGTGTGAGTGAGAGAGTGAGAGAGTGAGAGAGTGAGAGAGTGAGACTGCATCAGAGAAACTGTGATTTTTACAATTCTCATTTCCTCATTGTTCTGGATGAGTGACTGTCCCATGGGCGCACACTGCTTTTGAGTTTCAGTGAATAAATTGAAGCTTCTCTCAACAACCTGACCCTGGTGTTCAGTGGTGACTGTGTGAACATTGTTGGCTTTATTTGAGTGTGATGTGAAAAAGATTTTATGGGTGACAGAATGGAAACAAACAACAACCTGAACAAACGTGTAACCACTCAGATCTTTGCTGAGAGGCTTTAAAAAAAACAGTATCTGTACTGATGTGATAGTTTCCTGATATATAACCTAGATAAGATTACCTAACCTTTAATTTGGGGAATTTACTGTAAACAAGTTAAATATTATCAGTTTATTTTTGACCTTGGTAACTGAATATTTGATAAAATCTACTCAACTCAGTCACTTGCTAGATTTTTCTGAGTTTTCAACTACACCCAACAGTCCTAAGCAGTAAATTCACACCGCTGAGTGGCATGTCATGTTCTATGTGCAACTCCCACACCAGCCGTTCTAGCCTCACAGCCCCTGAAGAATTATTTTTCTCCATAGCTCCACCTCTCCTCACCTCTCACTGTGTGTGTCTCTCATGTGTGTTAAATAGGTGTGGAGACAGCTATACGACTCGCATTATTACAAAGACAATAGTAAACTAGAATCCTCTCCTGGTGGTTGTCTGCCTCCTCCACTCAGACTAGTTTCAGGTTACATCCCTGTTTATCCAGTCATAGAAAATATGAACCATTTGTGTGAAATGTTGTCATAATTGCTGTGAAGTCTTAGGTAATGGCTAAAAAGTTTTTTGTGAGGTCACACTGACCTTTACCTTTGACCACCAAAATCTAATTCATCCATTCATCCTTGAGTCCAAGTGAAGGTTTGTGCCAAATTTGAATAAGTTCTTTCAAGGCATTAGTGAGATATTGTTACTGATGTCGCCAGTACAGGGGAATAAAATAGTTTAGATATGGATCTAGTTTATACTGTATATGGGTTTGTAAGCCTCAACTTTCTACAGCTCTCCATTGACTTAAACATCTTGTTTTTCATTTCAGAAAATGTGTCAAACTGTTGAGTCCATCAGTGTTAAAGAAGAATGAATTAAAGTAGCCTCCATAGTTTAAAGGTTTGTGACTGATATCAGGAAATGTCTCATCACAGCATTAGAGCACAAGCATTTGATAACATACATTCTAATACTGACACTTTATGATACATGATGCTACACACACATTTAGGTCAGTACTTAAAAAGTGTTTTACAGTGAAGCCTCACTTCTGTGGAGTGTGACCACAGTTGAGTATCAAGCCCAAACAACAGTATCAGAAGGAGGAGTACCTCCATGTGATATTGGTATGAAAATGAGACAAGTATCTTTGAACTCATTCATTCATGATGTAGACACATGAAGAGGACTTGGACACTGTTCTTTCCTCCAGTGCCTCTTGTGTGCTCTGCTAAGCACAAGTGGATCATAGAGCCAAAATCCATGTTCATTACAGTCATTAAAAGTCCCGGTTTAGGTTTGAACCAAATGATCTGCTACAGTGGTGTCAGATCAACCAGGAGCCTACAGAACCATAAGACAGGTGACACTTTCACAACTTAAATATCTTCAGGGAGAATATTAGTGATCAACAGCAGCTAGCCACATTTCATAAGATAACATAGCATGATGGCATACACTACTATTATTTTTTTATTTGAAGTTATTTGCAATGTTTTATTGTTCTATATATTTATATTGTGCCAACTTACTACATTCTACCAATGTGAACACCAGCTCTTCGTCAGTAGAGAGCAATAGTGGCAGCATTTTTAGAATCAATGCTTTATTTGTTGATGATCACTGGCCTTATAATGTCGGTTATTTACAATGTGACAATGTTGAATTTATTTAGTTTCTTGGGGTTTTATTGTTCTTCATGTGTAATATTAGAAAATTAAGAGGTTTTTGTCATGTTTTTATTCTTTTTTAAAAAATTGACTGTTGTGAACATTTAAAAAAAAAAAATGTTTAGATTTTGTACATTTTTTGTACAAGTGTCAGATTATTACCATAATGGTGATGAGTGCTGATTGGAGGGGCCCCCTGGCAATTTTTTGCTTAGGGCCCCAACCAACTCTAGAATCACCACCGTGAGTTATAAAGTATGTGGAACTTTTTTTTTCTTACATAGTATGGATGCTTTGTCTGGGTCATCACATCATTTAGGATGAAAGAAGATGCAGGGTCAGATGAAGCTGAACCAGGAGATGAAGAGGTGAGACATAAAAAATGCAAAATGCCAATACCAAGTACTTAAAATTTTTTCCAATAATATATATGTACAAATTATATGTAGACACCGTTTTATTGTCTCATTTACCTGCGCTCTCGGACTCTGGCTTATTTCCGACAGCACCTGAAGGCGGCACTGTGCTGTACCTCACCTCCAGCAGTAGATGGCGTCCGTGCTCAGCCCGCTCCGCAGCACTGAGACAGCTGAGTCACACATACATTTGGACCCAGTTAAATAGATATTGAGCAAAAAGAGCGGCTTCAGTCGAGAAATTGCCCCAACTCCACCGAATCTTGACCCCAGCTGCCTCTGACACCGCGTCGCAAGATGCTGACGATAACACTAAAGACCCTCCAACAACAGACGTTCAAAATAGAAATAGACCCAGAATTGACGGTGAGTAGAAGTTAACGGGGCTGAAGTAAACACGCTCAGGCCGGGAGGGAGGGCTGCCATATAGGCTGTAGCATTCGGGAATATTAGCTAACGTTCAGACATGGCGGCGGTGCGGGCTGCTCAACTCTGTAAAGGACATTCTATAGTTTTTTTTTTTTTGTTATTTAGAAAGTAACGTTTGGTCAGTGTGACAAATGTGCAGTCAAACAAGTTAGTAATTTAGCAGGATCTCACAGTAACTGAGTTCATGTGGGGTAATGTTGCTACAGCTAGCTCGAGCAAGACCGGAACTAAGCAAGTTATCCTTTAAAGTAAAAGCCTAACATCTTTAATTCAATTACAAGCATTTCACACTTTAATAACACTGTGGCGTCAGGCGTTTGACTAGCTAAATGTAATACAAATAATACAGTGGAGGTTATTGTCTGTACTCCACTGGCTGTTTTCCTCAGGACTACACTATGTATGCGCACTAAGAAGGTCTTATTCTGAAAACCCCGACCAGAAGTGTCTGTACCTTAATTTAGCTTGATGGTGTTTGACTTGTTTCAGTGTTACACCATGAATGACGATGCAATATTTTAAAAATCTTGCCTGTTTATGTAGTGATGGGAAGACTGATCACTAAATCGTTATTAATAAAAAACCCCAAGCCTTTTGGAGCTTTCTGCAATACATAGTCATTTATATTAGGTTTATTTAACTCATAATGTTTCCTGTGTGACCATAATGACTGTAACAGTCATTGATTGGCGCCACACACACATCATAATAAGTAGAATTAAACTGCAGTACATTTTCTGTTAAAAACAAAATAAACTGATGATACTGTCTTCATTGCATCTTTTTCATGGCATAATCTACATGTATCCATCACAGTTACAGTTAGTTTCTGTCTCTGCTCGTTTGGTCCATTGTTCATTTTCACTGTAGTGTACCTGTTTGCACCGTCTTGCACTGTATACTGCTCAAAACGTTTACTCAACTCTAGATATATATTCCTTTACAAAAAAGGTTAAGTGCTGCTAAAAGCTAACCAGAGCTTTACTCACTTCTAGTTGTCTACAGTTAATTGTTGTAATTTGACAGTTTGTAGCTTGTTGTTGTTGTTGTTGTTGTTGTCTTTTTTTAAGTTACACGTGTAAAAGCCCAACTAGGGACAGGAGTCCAGAATTAGCAACAGCTATAAACTCTTTGTGCAACACATTAGTTTCATGCTTTGTTTTGAAACTTTTTAAAATTGCATTGATCAAATCAATAAATAAACGAAACTAAACTTTTAAACTTTTTTACACAAACAAAAAAATCAGTAAAAACAGTGAGTCACATTCAACTGCAAACAACAAAAGAAACTGTATGAACAAATTACACCATAACAACTAGTCTAAAGTACTCAGACTACTAATAACAATTGAGCTCACAAAAATCATCGTCTTAGAACATGGATGGTGAGAACGGGTTGTTAAAAATGAGTTAAGTTAAGCATTTTCAGACGGTGCTGTTAACCAGTCATAAATGGTCAGAGTGACGTTATCTCTCCATTTACAGAATATCCACATTTTGCTATAGTCAGCTTGTTATTACACTGTTGATTTGACCAGATGTGGCTGAGTGCAGCTTTTTGTCACAGTGCTTATTCTCTGGAGAACATCAGTCTTTGCACAGTAACACATTCCCATAACATCTGACGGTAGGACTTATTTACAAAAACAACAGACCTTACACTACCCCTCTGTGATTGTGTAATTTTCAGTGATACAGTGTCACATCTGGAGTTGTTTCACTTTCAGAAAATCTCCCAGTTACATCAATGTTTGATGTGTTGATGTTTGTCAGGTGAAAACCCTGAAGGAGAAAATAGAGGAAGACAGAGGAAAAGATGCATTTCCTGCTGCAGGACAAAAACTCATCTATGCAGGTGAGACAGACTCTTCAGCTTCTTTGTATAACTGGCAGGTGATGATTATAATTCACACCAGGTAACTCAGTTGTGAAACTAACCTAAGGGTGAGTCAAAGTTACTACAAATATAAATTAAAAATGTCAGTTGATTTTAAACAGAGGAGCTGTTTTTTCTTTGGTATGAAGCCACAAAGCAGCACTCCACATCGTGGCCCCCATTAATTATTTAAAAAATAAAAAATCATACTTCATACGTTGATGCTTACTTAAAGCCACATTGAGGATCCTCACTGAAGCAGCAGCAAGAAAATTCATAATGCATATGAGTCAATGAGGTCATCAGAAGAAGTTGTAATATGACTGGGCTTATTATCAGTCCATGTATTTAACTTCATGGACAGGAGAATGTGTCACATCTGCTGTCAAAGTGCAGAGTGTGTATTACAGAACTTTAAAAAGTTACATCGGCATAAATAAAGTTCAGATATAAAATGTTCAGAGATCAAACGTTCACAGTACTAGAAACTTCTGCACAGGATAATAACTCTGATGTGTCTGATGTTTGATACTTTCCCTTGTTTAAAACCATCACAGCTTCTCCGTGTCATGAATCTTTTCTCATTTACTGTTTCTGCTTGAATGTCACAGGCAAAATCTTAAACGATGACACCCCGCTGAAAGAGTACAAAATCGATGAGAAAAACTTTGTGGTGGTCATGGTTACCAAGGTCAGTGTCTCCTCAGATTGTTTTTGTTAGACAGTTATGTCATACTCACTCACCGCACAGCTGCCCTGAGCTTTTATTTTTAACAGAAATACTGTTATTATCCACTAATGATTTCAATCACTTCTACTCTTCCATTTGTGGTTGTGTTCAGCTACTGACAGTGGTAACTCATCCCTGGTAGGCTTTTAATTTGAAACATTTACCAGAACAATAGAGTTTATATGACAGTAGTTTAACAACAGTTGCAAAAAATGAAAAGTACAAGTGATTGAAAAAAAAAAAGTGAATTAGAACTGTTAAAAAGAGAAACTCAGAGCAGCAGGGTGGTGAGTATTGACAGTAAGTACAGGTGAAATGTTGAGGTGTTTGGTCCAGGCTCATGGCTGAAGCAGCTACTAACAGGTTATGTATAAATTTGTCGTCAAATGTGGTCAGAGCTTAATCCAAGTTACAGGTATGAACAAACGCAATCTATTTTAACTTTAACTATTAAAACACATATCATTGGGTTGTTCTTGTTCATATTGAAAACATCATTCAAACAGTCACAGTGTAGCTGGAAACTAGCTGTGTTCAGTGTTTCCTTCAGCATGTTTAATGTCCTGATTATTTATTGTGAGTCATTCTGTAACTGTTTGATACTATTTGAATATTGACTGATCACAGTGTTTGAGCCTGTGGAGCCTCATTAAGACTCTGTAGTCCAAATAAATCAAGTTCAGAGTAAAACAGGACTTTACATCAGAGTGATTGTACTAAAGTAAATTGATGCAGATTTTTACCTCAGTTTTACAATCAATGAAATTGTTCCTCTTCCTCGTCTTTCTTCTCTGTGTCTGATCACTTTTGGCACAGACCAGATTCAATGAAAGCAGATTGGAGGTTTGGAACAGAGACACTTTGGCTTATAAGCAACATCAGCTGATGTGAACCAGGCCTCACAACAAAGATCTCAGAGACTGAGGATGAAGAGTTGATGAGCATGAAGCTGAAAGTGTTACAGAATTCAGATCTTCATCTGTCCATAGTCACACAAACTGTCTGTAGGAGATGATTTAGTGAAGTGACGTCCAGCTGAGACTGCAGCAGCTCAGCACAGATGATCAGTAACAAAAAAGCTCAGAGTCACAGCTGAAGGCTTGAAGGAATCGTTGGAGCTGGTTAATCACACTTGAATCACGGCGCACAGAGCAGAGTGGAGCAAAGTGGAGCAGAGCACCTTGACACTCCACAACACTGCTGGGAATTCGTTTGATGAAACTAAGGAAGATGAATTCCCAGGTTTGTCCAAGTCAGGGTGTCTGTCCACCTGCTGAAGCTCAGGAGAAGCTGCAGGACAGTGACCCTAAACATCAAAGTAAATCTACTACAGAAATCCTCCTTCTGGATTGAGGGCAGAGCTGCTCACACCAGACATGCTGAGAACATGTCTGACTGAAGCAGCTCTATAAGAAAACTTACACCAGTTCACCTGGGTCTCCAGAACTGCAGGAAGGTCTGTTTCTTTCTGCCGCTGTATTCTTCACATAGGACTGTATCAGCTAAAGTTAGCGTTTGCTCCAGTAGACCTCTGCCAAAAGAACATTATGTCTGTTAAATGGGTCCCATCTGAAGAAAACAGCGATAGAGAGAGGCAGACTTACCTGCAGGTGAACTTGTGTAAGCCATTGCCTAGGTATGCATATCTGTCAGGCGTCTGAGTGTAAATAAATCAAGTGCTCCTTGCTCTTCCCCTCAAGTCCCCCCTCTCTACACCAAAGCGGTGACAGAAAGTTGAAGCTGAAAACCAGTGACACTGAAAAAGTAGTGACAGCGTAAAAAATAACTGTCACTGAAAAAAGACAGACATTAAGAAAAAAACCGAAGATTGACATTGAAAAACATCATACAACACAAAAAATATCAAAATGAAATGAGATAAGATTGTAGTTTTTTAACGCCGTTTTTCAGTGGAACCTTTTTCACGTCCAATATTTACGTCTGTACCATTGCAACTTTTCAATGCCGTTGTTTCCTTTTTGAGATCAGGTTTCGTTTTCAGTGTCAGAATGTTGCTGTCCCTGTTTTAGCTGAAGTATAATATTAACAGTCTGGTCTAGTGCTGCTTCCTGTTTGGTCAGAATATCCACACCACTAATGATCAATTCTCAAATGTCTTTTCAGCCTAAACCAGCCCCTCCTCCACATTCAGCCCCTCAGTCGACCCCCCAAACAGCTTCAGCCTCAGCACCAGCCTCAGCCTCAGCTACAGCACCGGCCTCTGGCCCAGCACCGGCGCCCTCGACGCCAACACACACGGTGTCTGCACCCACGCCCGCCCCACAGTCAGTGCCTCCGTCTGAATCCCCTTCCTCAGTCCCAGAAAACCCCCTGTCAGATTCTGTTGAAGCAGCAGCAGCAGAAGCAGCTCTGGACTCGAACGCAGCCCCAGACACAGCTCCAGCTGTGGCCTCAGCTGCTGCTCCAGCCTCTGCCCCAGCCCCAGCTGCTGAACCTGTTCAGACAGGCTCAGCCACTGCAGACAGCCCCACCCTTGCAACCCAGCCAGAAGAGAAGCCAACGGAAGACCCTGAGAGTCAACCATCTGCCACAGCACCAGTCCACTCTTCTGCTTCCAGGTTGGATGAAACCTGTGTTTAATGAGAGTTTAATTCATGATCTGGTCTCCAAAAATCTAGTTTAAATGAGTTAGGAAATCTGGGTTAGTGAGGTCAGCTCAAACTGTGAGCATGTAGCTGAGCAGAACTGTCCAGTTCAAGTATTGGAATGTGTCTACAGCTCGATAATAATCAGTGAAACCTGGATGAGACTTTAGTAATATGACTGTTGCCAAAGTCCTGTTCATTCATGGAGATGATGTCAATCCTTTTTTAGTTGTAGTTTTGTTAGCAGCATGACTCTGGTGGTCAGTCCAAGCGTTGGAAGAGCTGTTGTTTCATTGTGTTCAAGCATTGGTGATTGATTTTGGATGAACTTTGATGAAGAGCTTCATCATCAGGTCAAACCTTTAATTTGTCCAGTATGTTGGCTTATGACTGAATACCTCCAAAACTAACATCATCAGCCTCACTTTGTGTTTAGCTAAGGTTAGCATGCTAACATAGTAAATTAAGTGAACATGGCGAACATGCTCAGCATTATACCTGTTAAACATCAGCATCTTTCTCTCTGTTCATTTCTCTCAGCCTTGTTGATGAACTGGGTCTCCTCGAAGAAGCAGCATCAATACTGGGTATGTACCAACATACTGGTATATTTTGCTTTCTTCTTTTTCGTTTTAACCCTTCGTTCCTGGTTGATAGAGTTTGCATCAATGTCCAGAACCAGAGCACTCAGCTTGCTGGAACCAGAACTATTTGCTATTTCAGTGAGAGCACTATTCTTTGATGGTAAAGGCGTCAGTATGAATCAAATGAAGTAGTTTGTATGGCGTGTCATTCAGCCATGTGTTAAGACCTGTAATGAGTGGCCACACTGAATGAAAAGCCTGCTCATAGTCATAGTCTCCTCCTCCTCCTCACTGCCTCCCTGATCTCTCCCCAACAACTCTGTGTCTTTTATGCATCTTTGTAGAGTCAACATGATGAATTGTCCAAATAGGGATAAAGAAGCACAATTGAACTTGGGTCCTCATGACCGAGAGGTCTGAAATGCAGCAGCCGCTATTCCACAGTTGGACAGGGGGTTTCAGCGGGAGATCCATCCATTAGCTGCACTGCCTATCCTTATAGGGTCGCAGGGGGGGCTGGAGCCAATCCCAGCTTACATCATGGGGGAAACCCTGGACAGGCCATCAGTCCATCACAGGACTGACATATATCCACACCCATTGGCACTTTAGAGTGGCCAATTAACTAATGTGCATGTCTTTGGACTGTGGGGGGAAGCCGGTGTACCTGGAGAGAACCCACGCCGGCACAGGGAGAACATGCAAACTCCTCACAGGTTCCAGGTTCGAACGCAGAACCTTCTTGCTCTGAGGCGACAGTGCTAACCGCTGTGCCGCCGCTGTGCCGCCGCTGTGCCGCCACTTAGACCATTTTGATGAAACAGGCTGTAGGACTGGCAGACTGAGAGCCCGATAATGTCCAGAGCCTTCAGCATCTCAGAGCAAATCTTGTCCACCCCTGGCACCTTGACTACCTTTGCGTGGGTGAGGCTTCCCCCGAGTCAGACCCTGCCCCTTCCTCAGGACATGTTGGTTTGGTTCAGGAGTTTCTCAAAGTGTTCTTTCCACTGGCCAACGTTATCCCCAGTTCAAATGAACTGTTTTGTATCAAAATATCCCAGAGGATGGACGTCCCTGGTAGCTCACCTTGTAGAGCGTGTACCACTTAGTAAGGCTGAGTTCTTCCTGCAGCGGCCTGGTGTATGTCATCCCATCTCTCTCCCTCTTTCCTGTCTCTCTCTACTTCTCTATCAGATAAAGCAAAAATAAGTCATGTAGTGACTGTAGCATTCATCTCCTCCGTGCTACCTGTCCTGCTGTCTCCACAGTGACGGGTCCAGCCTACGAGAACCTGGTGTCGGAGATCATGTCTATGGGTTATGAGCGGGAGCAGGTGGTTGCTGCACTTAGAGCCAGTTACAACAACCCAGACCGAGCTGTGGAGTATCTGCTCATGGTGAGGATTAACCAGCTTTAGTCGCTGCCCCACCTGTCTCTGTATTACTGGCTGTGTTGTAACTGTTTATGTGCTGCAGGGTATTCCAGCAGAGGCCAGTGATCTGCCACCTCAAGAGCCAGTTCGACACAGTGCTCCATCTAACCCTCCCCCCCCTGCTACACAACAACCACAGCAGCCCCCAGCAGCCCCTAGCAGTAAGAGCACACATTTATTACTTCTGTGTGTGTGTGTGTGTGTGTGTGTGTGTGTGTGTGTGTGTGTGTGTGTGTGTGTGTGTGTGTGTGTGTGTGTGTGTGTGTGTGTGTTTGTGTTTGTGGGGGCGTGTGTGCGCGCCTGCATGCGTGTGTGTGTGTGCACTCCTGGGGACCCCAGGTCTGAGAGCCAGTGTTGTGAGTGTAGTGTTCTTCAGCACTTAGTTTGTCTGATTGTCATGTGGTATGGTTGCTTGTTTTCCTCACCTGCGTTTCGACCCGGGGAACTTAAGTCTAACCCAGACAGGTTCCTGCCTGCTCTGGGGGGCAGGACCTGGACATCACTCAGGAACTGTTGGGGTGGAGTCTGCTGAGCTCAATGTGACTCACTGCTCAAACATAAACCTGCTGCTACAAATTGTGCAGAGCTTTGATTACAAACTAAACAACATTCTAGAAGGAGGCATAGACATTATTTATAATCTGACAAATATCCACTTACTAGCTTTTCCTGGACCTTTCAACCACATCTCACAGTCTTCATCAGTGGATGGACTTTGCTCAGTTGTCATCATGTAACAGCTGAACAGCAAACAACAACATGAATGTTTGTTCTTACTGTGTGGTGGAAACACTAACTTGACTTTTAGTTCCTCAGTACCTGGAACTATTTGATGGACAATACGGACGTTATACTCCTGTGTGTTTAGAATGAGACAGTTACAGTATAGTAATGCTGGTTGGAAAACATATGGTTTGATTTGAATAACAACTTATGGGAATTTTCAAGTACGATTCACTAAATATGACTTAATGGAAAACATATGGTTGCTAACATGTCAGTAAGGGTCAGACAGCTGCAGGAGGTGAAATGTTTTCTGTCCCTGACATGACGTCACTGCTTCTACATCTCATTCTCTAAAGAAATTAGTGAAAGTAAAACATGTTTTAAAGAGGAGGATGAAGAAAATAAAACACTAACAATGACATCACAGGAGAGGTTTATACAATCTGTGCCTTGAACTGACAATGTTTATCTAGATTTTGGGATTGGCTCTGGCTGTTACATATGAAGGACCAGGGATGTCACAGGGGAAGTAAAAAATCATTTCCTTAATTTCATATTTTCATAGACATTAAAAATAGGAATTGTAAAAAGAATTTATAAATGATTTTATAAATATTTATATTTATAAATACATTTAATAATTCATGAATAAATAATGGAATTTGAAAAACTATTTGAAACTGCATTTTAAATATGGGAATACAGACCTGGATTTCATTCATTTATAAATGGTTAATTTATTGAGAGTTTTATGCTGTTTTTGTAAATCAATTTTTAAATTTGAAGTATTTATTGATGGATTAATTGTTCATTTATATTTTTTTTACAATTCCTATTTTTTAATGCCTATTAAATATGAAAATAAGGAAATGCTTTATTACTTGTCCTGTGACATCCCTGCTCCTCCACAGTTACCTTGTTAAATTTTGTTAAATAAAGTTTTTTTGGGGGGAAAGAGGCTGCTAGAGGAAGGGATGTCACGCCTGGGGACTGTATGCTCTTCTTATTGGCTCTCAGACCTGGGGTCCCCATGAGGGAGGTCTGCATTGGGAATGTTGCAAATCACTGATTTGACTTCTTCATGGTTACAGTGGATTTTTTATTTGATTTCAGCATCAATTGGATTTAGTACCTTGTTGGTAAAGTATTTAAGTAACTGAACTATTCAGAAACTGGTTTTCCCATCTGTTTTCTATTGTATTCTATCACACTTAAGAACAACAACAGTAACTGGCTTTCCACTCCCCAGCAGGGCCAGTGTCTGGCAGTCAGCCTCCCTCTGCCGGCGGAGGCTCTGTCTCCACAGCGAACCCTCTGGAGTTCCTGAGGAACCAGCCTCAGTTCCAGCAGATGAGACAGATCATCCAGCAGAACCCAGCCCTCCTACCAGCCCTGCTGCAGCAGCTTGGCAGAGACAACCCACAGCTGCTGCAGGTACAGACGCACCACACTCACTCTGCTGCCATGGGTCTCTGCATTTAAAAAACTGATTACAGCGCAGTGAGTCTGTGAGCCCAAGAAATGTTTCTTATGCAGATCATGGGTATTTCTTTAAGAAAGACCCAACATTGAAAGATTGAAGGGCATTTTTGATCACTTTTGTTATTTTCTCATGAACTGCTAAACTTACTTGAATAAGAAAATATGTATAATAAAAAAATATAAATCTTCTCCTGAAATTTGAACCCAGTGAAAAATGTTGTTATGAAATAAGAATGTGATATTTTACATGAAAAATGAATTTAGTTCAAATACAAAAGAAACAAATAAGAAGAAATTAAAATATAAGTTTGAGATTGTGAATGATGTAGCTGTGACCAAATACATCTCACGCTATCAAGGAGGTCAGTTTGCAGTCAGCTGCTCTGGGAGCCTGTACTGTGTATCAGCTGTATGGCAGGATGCATATTGACTGAATGTGTTATTTGCAGCAAATCACGCAGCACCAGGAGCGTTTTGTACAGATGCTGAATGAGCCACGAGGAGGAGACACGGGAGGTGAAGGTGCTGAGGCCCAGGGGTCACCACACACCAACTACATCCAGGTCACCCCACAGGAGAAGGAGGCCATTGAGAGGGTCAGTCCACCACAAACACTGACTATTACCACTGTCTTCATTACAGTGATGGTTCAGGTTATTTAATGCAGGGTTGTGAGGTACTTATTTATAGTCAGTGCAGTAATAATAATAATGTAATAAACTATATATATAGCACTTTTCTTAACAAAGTTACAAAGTGCTTTACAGAAAGAAAAATGGGAATAAAATAACAGCAATTAAAAACAAAAGAAAAATGAACACATCATAAAACAGAAGTAAGTTATATGAAAATAGAAATTGTCCCGATCGTGGGAAAATTACTAATACTAATAATACTAATGATGCTTCCTTTCTGATCTCAGTAGGTCGACTGTCCCACAGTTTTTAATCTCTAACAGCAGAGGCCCGGTCACCTTTAGTCACCAACTGAGACCCAGGAATAACCAGCAGAGCACATATGGGGTTAATCAGTCCTTGATATAATTTGGAGCAAGGCCATTTAATGATTTGAAGGTAGTAGATTCAGTTCAGCTCCCAGTTTTTAGAAGTAGCAGGAGCAGTGGGACAGAGGCTGAGTGATGAGCTGCTGTGGACGGGTTGATCCACAAAAAATCCTTAAAAAAATACCCACAGAAAAAAGATAATATCAGTTGTGTTTTATTTGGAATATTTTCACTTCATCTGCCGTAAATCAGCCCTTTACTTTGGAACTACATTAGGAATATGGTAGTTCAAGGGTTCACAAACTGTAGTTCCAAATAAAGGGCTGATTTATGGCAGATGAAGTGAAAATATTCCAAATAAAACACACACTTAAACTGATATTGTTTTTCTTCTGTGGGCATTTTGTTAGTAGCTAAAATACATTTTTGTGGATGACCCTGTCCACAGCAGCTCCCAAAAGCCCCAAAAATGTGACTTAAAGTGAATTGTTTTTTAGATAACTGCACAACTTAGCGCTCTCATAAAAGTAGCATAAAAATGGATTTGTTAATAGTGAGCTTAAGTACACAAACCTATGATAGATAATGTGTTTACATGTATGCAAGTGTGTGTGCCCAGTAACTGTCCAAGACACAGCTGTACTTGTGTTTTTGTGTGTGTGTAAGTGACAAGAACGTGTGTGTTGTGTTCCAGTTAAAAGCGCTGGGCTTCCCTGAAGGCTTAGTCATCCAGGCTTACTTTGCCTGTGAGAAGAACGAGAACCTGGCTGCCAACTTCCTGCTACAGCAAACATGGGACGATGAGTAACCGGACATCAGCTGACACATCACCAAGACACCAGGTCCACCAGGGATTAACAGGGACAGGAGAGGAAGACAACATTTCTTTTCACACCATGTGACTGTGGTCTGATGATGATGGTGATGATGATGACTATATTGATGATGATGATGATGATGATGATGATGATGATGATGATGATGATGTTCAAAGTTAGCTGTGCTGCCTCCTCTCCATTCAGCTGTGATGATCATTGTAGGAGCTCACACTGAGCTGTGCCTCACTGCTGCTACATTATTACTGCTGCCGCTTGTGCTGAGTGATCCCACTGATAGAAGTCAATATGCAACAGTCTGCATCACCTTCACAGGCCAACAGGCTTTTATTCAGAGTTTCCACTGCAGGCGGCTCACAGGCTGCCTGCAGGACACGTGTTGAACTTAGACTACTGTACATATACAGAATACACACTACAAGAGTGTATTTCTTGTGAATACAAACATGAGAAAAACAAATTTTCAACATGTGTGTTGACAAACCCTCCATGTTGGATTTACCTGAAAGTGTGATGCAAACTGTCGACTTCACTATTTGAGAGCTAACATTGCTTTATATTAAAGTTCAGGTCTGATCATTTCATTTCTTCTGCTTTTTTTGTCTTTTGAAAAAAAATCCAAATTCTCTACTATATCTCAGAGTCCAAATAGCACTGATGTAATCTTCAGATGTGCCTCTGGGTCTGTCCATGGAAATGAAAAGGCTGCAGACTAAGTATTTGAGATGTTGCTCCCCATTCATGCCAGAAAAAGAAAAATGAGGTGAAATGTTAGAAATAATTGTTAAGATAATGACTCAAAATTACAACTATTTAAGTCAAAATATGAAATAGTAAGTGATTGTCTCATAATTTTGGCTTTGTAAGTCAAAATTTACTGTCACAAAATTTAGTCTTGGATCACAGTCATTATTAATTTGGCCCTAAAATGTAAATATTTTACTTTGTTCATTTTGACTTACCATGAGTACGTCAAAATAAAACATTCGACTTTTAACAGTGTTTAACTATCTCATCGTTTTGACTCAGAAAGTTGAAGTTTTGACTTTTAAGACCTTTTTTTGGCACAAATAGGATTCCATAGGTAAAGACATTCAGCGTGTCTGGTGTAAGTGAGTGGTTGACTCTACCGCCACAAGTATTAAAACAGTTTGCATATACCATAAATCAGTTGGGCAGTTGCAGTACATTATGATTACTTGTTACCAAGGTTACGTGTATGTATTTAGTGGGCACATCCAGATGTAGCACTCAGCTTGAATTTGTCGTTCAGTGTGGAGGGTTTGTTTTGTTAATCTGGAGATTGAAGGTTTTTTTAAGGTTGATTGTGAAGTGCCACAGACTTTGTGAGATAAATTTTTGACTTTTTTTTTCTTTCTTTTTTTTTGTTTTAAAGAAAAATTTAGTTGTTTCTCAACATGATCACAAATAGTCCACCTCCTACATTCAGGCAATCGGGTTCTTTTCAGTTTGTGTCATGTCACATCTTCTATGCATCTTAAAACTGTAACAATTTGAGCCATTGCTCCTTCATGCCTTATTGGTAGTTAAAGACTTGAACACATTTTGTTTTACTGATGTTGTAGTTTACAATATAGTGTTTCAGATATCTCACAGATGAGTGTTGCAGGATTGTTAATCATCATTAGACTTTTAATTATTAATAATTTAGTAGTTACAGTTTCAGAAATGGACTCAAAGGAATTGGAATAAGTGCTAGAAGCCAAAACAAAAAATGTGTTTTTTTTTTTAGCATTCAGCATGTGCTTTGCTGTTTCTCCTTTTATTTTTCTTTGTTTGAACTGGAAATGACTGGAAGTTTTGTATCATATTGTACACAGGGTATACAGTATAAACTTTGGGGAAAAAAGGCACTTTACTGTGACTAATGCTGCTGTAGCTGTGAGGGATTGTTGGTTGCATGAGATTGTTACAGATATTTATAGCATGGCAGTGGGTCAGGACTGATGAAAGCACCAGTATGGTGTTGCTCTGATCGCAGTTTGTCGTTGTTTTGTTTTCTTTTTGGGTTTACAAAAAATGACTTACAACCTTAAAAACACCAGTTGAGGTTTTGCTGAATAGTTGTGAAAAACTTTTGTTTCACCATTGTGTAAAATAAATGGCTTTTACAAAGTGGGTGAGGTCAGATGAGGTTTTTATCATCAATCACGTTTTCACTGTCAGGTTGTTTTAGCTGTTGTAGACAGGCAGTCAGAGTGTAGACAACATCAATTCAGTCAAGTATTATGCCTCAAAACATTTTTTTTAAACGAATGCAGCTCCAACAAACCAGAGCCATATATCTGGATTTGTCAATCCAGATGTTTTTGGACAACAACATGACTGAAAAGTGAACCAGTTTAAACTGTAAAATGATTACGCTGCACTGAAGAGTTTACCCTACCGAAGCGTAATGCGTTCACTTTAGAAAAATTAATTCTGCTCTGTTTTTCTGAATTAACGAGATCATTATCCTTATCTGAATTATTTTGTTAATTAAAAAAAAAACAGGATTTTTTTTTTATTTTTATTTTTTTAAACATTCTCTAAAAAGTCCTCTGTTTTTCATATCAGAAATCAGTTTTTCTGAGTTGAGATAATTATCTTATCTTAATCTTATCTTAATTATCTTAATTCAGATATCAGAAATCTGACAAGATAATAATCTCAGAATTCTAAGATAATCATGTCCTAAATTCAGAAAAACAGGATTTTCTTTTGTATTTGTTATTTTTTTAAGAAAACTTCTAAAAAAAAATCCAGTTTTTCTGTATTAACAAGATAATGATCTCAGATTTCTGGGATTATTAACTGGTTAATTCATATATCAGAAATCTGTTTTTCTGACTGACAAGATAATCGTATCATTGATTCAGAAACAGCAGGATTTTTCTTTTTTAAAGAAAACTTTTCTCTAAAAAAATCTTGTTTTTCTGAATAATTCAGATATGAGATAGTCTATCAGAAACTATTTTTTCAGAATAATTCAGAAAAACAGCACTCTGAAGTGAGTGCATTACGCTTCCGTAGTTACCCTAAATAAGAGCCACATGTTTGAAGAAATGATCAAGCAGACTTTTTAAGAAAAATGAAGTTAGGAGATGTTTAAAGGGGTTTCTGTTTCCGGACTGTGAGCCCTAGTTTGCCCGCCAGGGGGAGTGTTGCCCTCGAGAGGGAGGGTGGGTGCGTTCCCGCAGCAACAGGGAAGATGGCAGCTCTCACATCTCTGACCCAGGTAAAGATGCAGCAATTTATGACTCTTCACTAACAATAATATTAAGATAATTAATAGCATGACACAGTATGTCTCATTCGTGACAACTCATTTTAATTTTACTCTGAACGAAACACGAACTCGCTCTCAAATGCAGCAAGAATAAGGCAGTCAGCTGGTCGGGGGAAGGCCCATTGCAGTAACATTACCGTTAGGTAGCGGGCTTGTTAGCCTCCAGCTGGTTCTAGCTAGCCATGTAGCTACTTATCTACGACATAACATACAGATAACTTACTAATTGTAAATTTAAAAATAATAAGCGCCGTGGACTCTGTACGTGCAGAGGCCAGTATGTGTATGTATACGTGACAAAGCATCAGAAACTGATAACGCTCAGCCCCTAAGCTAGCAAACGTTAGCTAGCCTAGCCTTGATGCCAAGTAGTGAGAGAGGATGGGGCTGAACGCTGCTGAGGCTGGAGGGCTGGAGGACTGGTGGGCAGGCCGTACAGTACACACACTGTACACTGAACTCTGATTCATGATGCTAATGTGAGTTCTAGTCTTACTGGTACAGTTCACTAGTGGAAAAGTGAATGTGAAGGCTGATGGCGATTGTCTACGTTAGCGCAGCAGTCATTTAATATGGTGATGCAGCTGGACTCAGACATCCAGTTCATTGATGAACATCAGAGTTCAGTCGCTCTGTCAGCAAAACCGAAATGAGCGTTAAACGAATATTTAAATGAGCCACACGTGAATACACTGATCAGCAGTGAAGTTAATAACATTATCTTTCTGCCACAGTTGTCGAGTGGGAACCCTGTATATGAGAACTTTTACAGACAGGTAAGTGTATAAATCAATGCATATAACTTGTAATAACTCTTTATAACTGATAAAAGAGATGAGATAAGATAAGATGTACCTTCATTGATCCCCCACAGGGGAAATTCAAATTTGACACAGCAGTACTAAAGAGTAGCAGCACAACAGGAAATGTAGTAAGAAATAAAATAAGAATATAAACAGAATCTAGAATAAATAAGATACATTAGAAATACTTTATACAATAACAATGCCCAATGCTATGTAGGCTGTTACGTACATGTGCAATATAGAAATAAAAAAGTGGTTGTTGCAGTTTGCCACCAATTCTTTTGTAATATGCAGATATGAGTTCTAGACTGTGGGTATGTAAACATGAAAGACAGATCACATGATTTTGAGAGAGAAAATGAAAATAGAAGCATGTCATGCTGCACTCACACTGCTACATGTGTGTGTTTGTTTTGAGGTGGATCCTGGGAACACAGGGAGGGTCGGACCAACAGAAGCTGCCTTGTTCTTAAAGAAGTCTGGGCTCCCTGACATTACATTGGGGAAGGTAGGTTTGTTCTCTGTGGTGTCAATGTTACATCACACAGAGCTGCACAGGTATGTTTGTTTCATAAATTAATTCTGCAGCTTGTAGATCTTTATTGTTCTTACTGAAGTTGTTGATTGTCAAGGACTGAAGGTCAGCCTCTGGTCTGTGGTTATGTTGGTCTGTGTCTGTGAAAGGTGAACATTCCAGTGCTTCTGGTGTGTATGTGTACACTACTTTACAGAATTATGTCCTGACATCTTTGCAGACCTTATATGCGTAGGACATTGATATTTGGCTCATTGGACAATTTGTAATCACGAACAAGATAATTCTGCATTAGTACTTTTTATAAACAACAGATGAAATGACTATGATGAAGCTATGATGAAGAGCTATGTAATGAGTTGGTGAAGAGCAGATCATATTGTATTTACAGCTTGTTTTGCTGCCATATCTGGCAAAAAAATCAATTATTGCAGCTTCAAACTTGAGCACAGTTGCCGTGTTATATTTTGTGATGTTGTAATTTGTGAAGTTAAAGGTGGGAGAAATCTAGCTGCGATGGTGGGCCATGAAAAAAAAGTCCATAAAGTTTTTACCAGCCCTCTCTGTGTGCCTGTCATTCAGGGTGAGCATGAAAACGTGTGTGTGTGTGTGTGTGTGTGTGTGTGTGTGTGTGTGTGTGTGTGTGTGTGTGTGTGTGTGTGTGTGTGTGTGTGTGTGTGCTGGGCTCACTGGCCAATCACAATATGAAGTATGTAATGTTAATTTGTAAATTGTTTCATTTGGAACATATTTAAGCATGCACAATTATTTGATTTTTGATTTCAGAATCAGAAATCCTTTATTATACCCTTTCTACACCAAAATTAGAGGATAAAAGTGTTTTTTTTAAACATGAGTAAACCTGCTAATAAAAGCTGATTGACCCCTCTTCCACTGCCGGTCAGTTTGTCTGTCTGTTTGGGCTGAGGACACACACAACTGCAAGGAGTGATGTCATCACATGCACTTACAGAGCACACACACAGAGTGAGCTGTTACCTGTAGTGCAAACTGGTAAAACAGATCTGTCATGTCTCATCCTCAGGTTGTTGCTCCTGTCAGTGTCAGAGCCTCCATGTGAGACGCTTTGATCTGTCATTGTGTTTTTAAAACTTTTAAATCTCAACTTTATTGCCGGACAAAGCAGCGTTTTTTTTGCTGGAGCCCACTGCGTTGCCTTCCGACTGGCCTCATCTGCTTTTTTCACATGGGGCTGAAGTTGTTAAGCCAGCCTGAGGCAGGCCTGCTGTAAGAGGTGTCGTAGTGTGTGTTAAAGTCTAAATATGTAAACAGCATGTAAACAAAGATTTGACAGATTAATCTTTTTTTTAAACTGTGAAAACTAAGACAGTAGTGGTAGTAGTGGACTGTTTCAATCTTAACTATCATCGTCATCCTCCATCTTTGGCTTTTATTTTCAGTCTTGTGTTACATGCCTGTAAATCAAGGACTGTAATGGTTTAGCTCTGCAGTTTCACTGTTGTTTTACTGGCTCTGCAGAGACGTACATTGTGTGTCAAGCTGTCCAATCACAGGTCTTAGTTTGTGACAGTGATGAGCACCAGCTGCTGCTGCTAGGGAGGAGACCAGCAGATTGTTGTTGATGCCATCACAGTCACATTGTTGACTGAAGGATCACTGTGTGAGTTTTTTGATGAGTTTTCAGTTTAAATAAACATGGCTGTGTTAAATTGTGGTGAGTGTGACATTATACAAATCAAACATAGGTTCACTGGTTGTTTTGAAGGAGACGACAGAGGCAGAGCTGTCATTGCATCTCTTCTTCTCTTCTTTTAAAACATCTCTGTGGTCAGAGGATTTCAGTGCACTTCATTAATCAGGTTACAGTGGTAATCACACATCACAATTTCATGCATTGCAGTGAGCTGGTTGCTGTAAAACTGCATATAGATGCAGAATTTCAGAAATCAGGTGTCTCTCCTCCCCATATCTGTAAGCATGGCTTTTTTATTTTAACAGTAGTGATGATAGAAGTTGCTGGTCTTCATATTTGGTTACTTCTAGTGGCTATTTGGAGCTACAGTATATTAGTGAACTATATTAATGACAGAAGAGGCTGCTCATTTGAGGGGTTGTGTGTGTGTATGTGTGTGTGTATGGGGGGGGGGGTTCATCACAGCATCAAAGTGTCTGAATTTAGCAAATAGTTTCATTTTCATCAGTGAAAAGTGGAAAGAAACTTATTTAGACTTTAGAGGAGACTTGATGTCAGTTTTTGTCAGTCTCTGTTATGGAGTTACTTTGAATATGAGAACACATTGCTTCATCCACCACTCAACTTTGCCAGACTCTTGTCCCGCACATGTTTCAGTGTAAAGAGCCAATCAGAAACCTGGTTACTTGTAAACATGGTAAACAGATCAGTCTCCAGATCAGAATGTACGTGGAGACAGCAGCTGATACATTTCAGACTCTACCACAATGTTAAAATTGCTCCATAATTATGCGCTAGATTTGTAATTATTATCCCTGTCACATAAACAATTGCAGGGCATCTGCATCCCGTGAGAGGCAAAATACCTTAAAATACATGCTGTCTTACATGATGTGCAGTTTTTATGCATCTTTCATGTACAGTGTGTGTTTTACTTTGTGTCTTCAGAGCAAACTTTACATGAACATGCTAACGCTCGCCAATATCAGGCTTTTGTCTTCTACCTGCATTGACTCAAATTACTCTGCAGTAGTCTCAGGTGTTTATCAGCTCCAGCTCTAAACAGCATTGATGTAAACATAACACCTGGGTGAACACGCTAACTTTCACCCCTTCTCTGTGCTGTGACGTCTTTCAGAGAACAAACACTGTAAACACACCTGTCACCTGTCCAGCACGGTGCTGTTAAACCATAAACACTGCGGCTACACCTTCCTCTGAGAGCAGCCCAGAGATAAGTTTTAAAAACACATAATCGCCGACACAGAGGCTCAGACACTGACAGGAGCACCAACCCAGGCACGAGACGCAACATTTTACCAGTCTGCATGGCAGCTAACAGCTCACTGTCTGGATCTGAGAAGATGTTCCTCCCTTGTGTGTGTGTGCGCGTGTGTGTGTGCGTGTTTGTGTTATCCATAACTGCGTGTACTGACTGCAGTTGTGAGTCTGTGTCCTGTCAGTCTGAACAGACTCATCTGGCAGTGTGAAAGGAGTTAATCACCTTTTTACCTGTGTTTTAAAAATGCTCTAATTTTGGTATAAAAAGGTTTTTTTGAGCATCACTGATCTTTCCTGTCTCTGCGCTCATCCAAAGCGTACAGCAGCAGTAGCAGTCAAAAGCTGAACAGGACCTTTCAGAGAAAAGATATGATGCTGATGTGTATTCTTTCTTCCTGTTGTGTTCCTTGTAAATTGATTTTTCTCTTGAACAAATGTAATTAGTTGAAATCAGTTAAAACATCACAGGGACATGAATGCAAAGACACTGACATGATTACTCCAGACACACACACACACATGTACGTCCCTCCACAGGAAGTGATTGATGACAGTAATGACAGCACAAGCTCCTCCACTGGATTTATAATTGTTACTGGGGTCATTCATTTCTAGCATTAATTTGTTTCACTTTTCCTGTTTTTGTTTTTTGTTAAAGAAGCGACCTGGTGACATCACTAGTTAAGCTGTCTTATTTGGACTGTCAGTCCCACTTTACACACTGATTGGTGTGAGGTGTGAGGAGGAGAGACAGCAGTAACATTTGAACCTGTCTGTCCACTTGACCTGCACCATATGAGGAAATGTGATGTCTTTTAGCACTGTTCAGTATTGCCATGAAGATATGTCATGCTAAACTGTCAGTTAACTAGATAATATTCATATAAATAACATGAAAACACTGGCTGAAGCTGAATGAAGAACACAAAGGTCTGTTGTCTCCTCAGCTTAATGTTTGCGCACTGTGGTTATGTAAAACAACCTGGATGGGAGAAGTTAAAATGTGTTTTTTCTAAGTGTTTAAATCTTGTTGAACAGGTGTGGGGTTGAAGGACACTGATTTGCTTTTTACTTGCAAAGGTTTTGATGGCACTTTCAGCAATATGACGGTAGTTGTTTTTGTGAAAACCCTGTGTGAATGCCTGGTGCCTGTAAATACTACGATTTTTCTAATTATAGTAATAGTTTCAGTCTTTTGCGATGGTTTATTGCACATGTTCATATCATGATGACAACTCTTTCTGATTCTTCACACAAAGACTGCTGTCACTTTTCACATGAACAAGCACATGCAGTGCCATGAATGTCTGTGAGCAGAGAGTCTGCACTGATAATCACATTTGTATGATTCATCACTTCCACTCCCTGTCTGTAATAGAAGCCTTTTCAAACTAGATTATTATTTATTTTCATACCCCAGCGTTCATGTTGTTGAAGAGATTTGGAGCAGAGAGAAAAATATGCAATAAATAAATAGATCAAATAAAAAGATAAAGATATGGGATACATAGATGGAGCTGCAGAGGACTGTTCAGACATTCCTCCCTGCTGGAGGAGAACATGGGTTAAATGAACAAATTAGACTTCAACCAGTTTGTTTGTTTTTATAGGTTTACTATGATTTTGTTCTGGTAGTTATCAACTAGCTTACAGTTCAGTGCATTTTAATATTTTGGAAAAGGTTAGCTTGTCAGCCCAAATTACATGAGATTAGAAAAATGTAAGAAACACCCCCCAAGTTCAAGATGAGTCATCAGAAGCATTTGTAGGTTTTACAGGAAAAGAAAAAAAAGCATTTTGATATAAAAATCCTCAAAAAAGGATTTTTGTTACATAATTGAACTATTTACACAGGAACAATTCAAGCTTGGAAAATGTATTGTTCATCTGACGGAGTCTGTAAAGTTGTTTGTGTGTCCTGTTTTCTTGTTTTTCAGATCTGGGATTTGGCTGATCCTGATGGCAAAGGTTACCTGGACAAACAGGTGAGTCCTCATCAGCTGCTCTGTCTGTGATGATGTGCTATGCCGACTTCACATAGACAAGTCAACAAAAAGAGGATGTAATTACATTACTTTGGACTCAGATAAAATACTTTGTATTAGTAATAAAGCCTCTGAATTAGCTAATGCTAGCATGTCCAGCTCAAACGGCAAACATTAACTTGTGCAGGCAAAGATAGAGAATATTTTTATTTTTCTTAAATAAGAATATTGTTCCATATGTTAGGTAGAGAATGACATAGGTGATGGGTACCACTGTGTTGTCTCTTTAAGGGGTTTTATGTGGCTCTGCGGCTGGTGGCCTGTGCTCAGAGCGGACAGGAAGTCAGTTCCTCCAGCCTCAACCTCACAGTCCCTCCTCCCAAGTTTGTGAGTGTCACTTCATCATTAAAGCTCAAACCAATCAAATCAATCCATGTTTTTTAACATTACAATCATTATACTTGTTATGCACAAAAACAGTTTCTGTTATTTTTTTATTCAGCCATGTGTCAACTCTGAGTATGATCAGTATGAGAGAAGAAAATGTGTTTAATCCTGACAGTGCTATGACGGCCATCTTTGTTTGTCTGATTTCAGAAGGACACCAGTAGTCCATCTCTGAGCAGCACAGCTTCTGCCTCCTCTGAACTACACTGGGCTGTCAGGGTGTGTTCACACACACACACACACACACACACACACACACACACACACACACACACACGCATTTTGGTAATGAGAGATGAGAGTCTTACTGATACAACATTTTAGTATATTTTGGTATTAGTCCAGCAGAAGTTTTACACTGAAATGTTCCAGTTGTGAATCAGCATGAGCTCCTCTGTTAAGTTAAAAGACAGTCAGGCTCATTCAGTGTAACATACTGTGTGTGTGTGTGTGTGTGTGTGTGTGTGTGTGTGTGTGTGTGTGTGTGTGTAGCCTGAGGAAAAGAGTAAGTTTGATGGGATTTTTGAAAGTCTGGCTCCAGTCAACGGGCTGCTGTCAGGGGAGAAGGTCAAACCAGTCCTAATCAACTCCAAGCTACCTCTGGACATCCTTGGGAAGGTACTGACTTCAACTGTCTCTTAGGTCTTACATCACACTTTTTGTTTCCATGATTAATATATGAAGTAACATGACTGACTTTTTTCCCAAGTGGATTTATAGTGTGTAGTTTAGTTTTTTTTAAGTTTATTTGTTGATTTGATTTAGACGATGCAGTTTAACATAGTTTCAAAACAAAGCATGGAACTAATGTGTTGTACAAAGAGTTCATAGCTGTTGCTAATTCTCCACTCCTGTCCCTAGTTGGGCTTTTACTTGTGTAATGTCATTAAAACAGTCAAAAGCAAAAACAACACAAAACAAAATTGATAATATCCTACGATTAGCTAAAGATATACAGATGTTCAGTCTAAAAAGAGACAACAACAAACTACAAACAGTCAAACAAAGACAATTAACAATAGATGTCAGTTATCTAGAAATGGGTACAGCTCTGCTTTGATTTTAGCACTGGAGCATCTGGAGTTAATTTGATTCCAGTTGGTGATGTGTTCACAGCTCTTTATGGAAAAAGCTGATTGTCCAAATTTAGATCTTTGTTGTGATAGTTTACAGCTGTCATTCACCATGCAGAGAAACAAGTTACTCTGTTACTGTCTTGTCTTTGAATATATCTGGAGAGAGACTCTGGAGCTGAACTGTTGATACATTTATAAACTAATCTGAGAAAGCAAAGATGAATAAAGCTCAAAGCTAAGTAGATATGTGTGATATTTTAGTTTCTCCTGGAACTACGCTGAACAGCCTCATTGATCCTCCTGCTTATCTTCTGCTGTTAGGTTTGGGACCTGAGTGACATAGATAAAGATGGCCATCTGGACAAAGATGAGTTTGCAGTGGTGAGTGTTATCTTTTTCTTCATTGTTACTGTATGTGATTTTTATTCTCTGTAGCCTGGACTAACTGTGGATAACTAGATAGATATGCAGTGGCCACTTTATTAGGTACAGCCTTCTGATACCTGCTAGGACCCTCTAGTCCCTCAGTACAGCCTGAATTCTTCCATCTCATGGATTCAATGAGGTGCTGGAAACAGATTCTGGTCCATATTGACGTCGTTCCACCACATCCCAAACATGTTCTATTGGATTGAGATCATTAAGGTTTACTGAACTCACTGTCATGTTGGTGGAAGCGGCTTGAGACGATGTGAGCTTTGTGACATGGTGTGTTATCAGGCTGGAGGTAGCCATTACCAGATGGTAAATTGTGGCCTTAAAGGGATGAACATGGTCAGTAACAGCATGCAGGGAGGCTGTGGCATTTAAACAGAGCTCAGGGACCAAATGTGTGCCAAGAAAATATTCACCACCACCATGAGCCTCAGGCGTTGCCACAGACCGGATACATCCATGGATTTATGCTGTTTACACCATATTTTGTCTCTACCACTGAAAGTCGCAGCAGATATCAGGATCCGTCAGACAAGGTGACATTTTTCTAATCTTCTACTGTCCAGTTCTCAGTAGTGAGGAGCTCAGTGGTCAGGAGTAGAACCTGCTGTGGTCTCTGCCGATTTCACCAACCAACTTTAATGTTCCATGTGTTGGTCATTCAGACATGCTCTTCTGTGTAGAATGTCCCTCTGTTTCTTTGGCACCAACAATCATTCCCTGCTCAAAGTCACTTAGATCACGTTTCTTTATCATTGTGTTTATACCACATCCAGTGTTTCCTCTAGGATTTTTTTCAGCAGTGGGGGGCATGCTCTCCGGGGGGGGGGGGCACATACACAAATGACCAAATGAGCAGTTGACAGCAGATTTTACTTTCAAAACCTATTTATTGGCTGGCCAGTTGAAAATGCTTTTATCGCTACCATTGAACTTTTACAATATATATCTCAGCCATATACAATGTCAAGAAAAATAAATACCTTTGGTTTGTGAAAAATAAATGTTACTTCAACTCTAACCAGTTGAAAATGTAAAAAGTAAAAAATAAATAAAACAATAACATTAAATAAATAAAAATAATAAATAAACATATAAAGATCAGCTAGATGGGGCTGTAGAGTCAGTGGCAAAGTTTGCACCCAGGCTCAGAGCACTTGATTTTCAGCGTCACTGAGTTGGCTAATAAGTCTACCTTTTCTCCGGTAATTCGCTGCCTTATTCCTCACGACTACACTTCTCTGTCTCTGACCTGGTGCCTGATGTGACGTCACTTTCAAGGCCGCGCGGGCCGCCACTGCTAAATGAATGTAGAGGAAACACCTGAACATCTGAACCTCTTGATCAAGCCACATGCTGCCACATGATTGGCTTATTAGATATGTGCATTAACAGGGAGGTGTGTCTGCTTAGTGTATTTTCCTATATGAAGTTGATATATCAGTCACAAACAGCCTTGTATGTCTTTGTGCTGCATAATGATTAATAGAATTATTGGATCAGTGATTACTTAGGACTGTGTAGGTGGATGACAGTGATGTTCGCCTCAGGGTGTCGGTCAGAACACATGGTGCTCAGACTCGCGTAACTCTTCTGAAAAGCTTCATGTGAGAGAGCGATGTATGGTCTATGACAAGAACAAATACAAGGAAGCCAAATATTACAAGGCTTCAAATAACCAAATACACTCAAATGAAATGACTTCTTACTTGGAGTACAAATTAAATTTCCATCATGTGGGAGGAATCTATCACTTACTGACTGCTCCTTTAAGTTTCAGTGCAAACAATGTTCCACCACACAGAACAACCAGCATTGTTCTAATCTAACACTTACACCTGATACGTGCTGTGACACTAGCATTAGTGTATACTAGCCACATGGTAAGTAGATTAGCTTAACATCTGTCAACCAAAAGGCAGTGAAAGACATAAATATCTGTTCAGTCAGAAATACCAGAGACACACACACAACTCACACCACATGGATGCTGGAAAGTTCTCTGTTCTGACAACGTGCCTCTTAAAACATCTATTTGCTGTTTACTACTGACTGCACAGCTCCATGTGCTCGACAGCACATCTGCACAGTTCTGCCACAGGAGGGCGCCTGTGCAACAACAACTGATGGATTCAGTTATTGATTCTGTTCAGGCAAGTCACATTTAAAGCTGCTGTCACATATGTCAGATATTTGAAAACAAGTATTTGGTTCACCTTAATCAGTGAACATTCAATAATCCATAATTAGTCATATTGATGCAAAAACAGTGAAACATTGAAATGACTTGAAATACGTGCATTCTGTTGTAATTGTGTTGTGGTTCAGCTTTGGTTTTGTATAGCCTGATCAGTTTTTGATTCTTTATTTGACTGATAAAAGGTTTGTGACATAATGACTTTTATAAAAGATATACAGTATATGCAGCCAGTGAATGTGTATTATGGTATAGTGGATGTGCCTAAGTGTGGATTGTGGATTGTGAATTCATTTGAATCTACAAGTTGCAGCTTCAGTCTCTTCTATAAGACACCCTCTGGGGACACGACAGTATTGATAGCAGGACGTGCTTCCCCAGGCCATGCACCTGGTGTACAGGGCCCTGGAGAAGGAGCCTGTTCCTGCACTGCTCCCCTCTGCCCTCATCCCGCCGTCTAAGAGGAAGAAGAGTCTGGGCTCAGTGGCTGGCTCTGTGCCTGGACTGCCTGCAAGCCCCCCACCACCAAAAGACTCGCTGCGCTCCACACCCTCCCATGGCAGCATGAACTCACTCAACAGCACTGGCAGCCTGTCGCCCAAACACACACTCAAGTCTGGACAGGTAACGCTACACTGATATACACAAACCATTGTTAAACATTTTAATGAAAAAATCTAATCGAAATAAATTAACAACAGCCAGAAGTGGAATTTTACTAAGCAACAACTACTCAGCTCTGATCAAGGCTGACTGTGGGCTAAATATACATAGTGTGAGTGAAATATGTACTGAATATTCAGTCAGTATCAGTAAGAGCAGATAATCCATATAGATTTTGTGTCCAGAACTAAAGGCAAGTAACAGGTTTGTTTTAGTTTTAGTTTTATAAAGGGAAGGAAGGAATATTCCAATCCCTATATTATCCTTAATTACTGGGTACGTGAAAAATGAATCAGGAAAGCATAAAATCGGTAAGACACCAGTACTTATAACAGCGTGTAAAAGAAGAAGTACAGTGTACAGTGTTGTAAAAGAGTGGATGTTTTTTTGAGTACAGACGCATGAACCTACAACTAGCCAAGAGGAGCTCAGTGAATCAGTGTATTTTACCAATCCAGGTGTCAGAACAGAATCCATCACTGATGCACCCAAATACTTTTCACATTCACACTCTCACATTTTCAAATACTTGTACTGTAGAACCTGGCTGTGGTAGAGGAGTGCCACACTGCAACAGCAGAAGGTTGAGGGGAGCAGAACACAGTGTAGTACAGTAGAGAAAGGATCAATGGAAGGACTTTGAATGGCTTTATTTAAACTGATACTGATCCATTAGAATAGACCCGGATTGGATCAGATACTGATCTCTAAGATCTGCTGCACCGGGTCTGGGTAGGAAACATATACTGAGTTATTTACAACAGATACACTACACTCGAATACACACACTGACATTGTGGATAAACAACTAAATGGAGCCTTTGATATGATTCAGTGATTTACATATTTAGGCCTGTCATGATATCCACTGTAGTTGGATGATATATTTTCCCAAAAATAAGTGTGTTAAACCATGTTATTGTCAAGACCACTGAAATACCACTGATATAATAATATAATACTGTAATAATGTAAGGACAGCCTTTTAAATAGCATTGACCTTTTAATTCTAAAGAATATTCACACATGGAATATGAAAAAATATTGAAATACTCAAAGACATAAATAAAACATAAATAATAATAAACAATTTACAGGTGCACCTCATCTGCAGATTGTCAATACAGGCTACAATTTACAGATGTTCCCTGAACGTCTCACAGGTGGTTGCGCACAGAAAAGCCTGTAGTGCAGAAAGTCCAACCTCCCTCCATAGAACACTAACATCAGTTGCTTTTATCCTGACAGCTTATACAGTGTGTAACATAAGTTTCTCTCTGTCTCAGCATGTGGTGAACTGGGTGGTCCCAGTGTCAGACCGTGGTCGCTATGACGACATCTTCCTGAAGACAGATGCTGACCTGGATGGTTTTGTCAGTGGACAGGAAGTAAAGGAGATCTTCATGCAGTCTGGACTTTCTCAGAATGTCCTTGCCCATATATGGTAGAGATCAGCTCGTTAATACCTGCTATAATTTATTTCTTGGCTTATTATTAGTCTGGTATCACGCTCTAATAAGACAGCCTCTATAAAGGATTTTTAGGTTGTAAGTAATGTCTTTAATAACTGGTAATAAATCATTTACTGATGCTTTAAAGATCAGTTATACACCTGTCATGAGAAGAAATTTTGTGTTAGGTGGGAATGCTGTTTTTTTTCCCTCTCTGGAAATAAGTGTTCATATGAGCTAATCATTCGAGTGGATTTTCACAACCTGACAACCCAGAAGTTGTTCCTATTGATGCCTTAACACTGATCCATGAAACTCAAGCAAATCTATTATTAACCACTGATAAAGCCATTATTTATAAAGGGTGCCTTATTAAGACAGCGGTACCGTTAGATCTACCAGTGTTCATAAAATGTTTTTATTTTTTATAAAATGGATCATTCATGCTTAGTATTTGATGTTCAACAGGTCAGAGGTCAAATTTAACACCCTGTCACATATTAGAACAAATCTCACTTACCCTCATCTCAGCTATCACCTCATCTTAGTGCTTAAGCGCTTAATAGTAATGTGTTTGCAAACCAGTGGCAATAAAGGTGAAAGGTGACCTTGAAGGTTTCATTGTGGATATTTATTCAAATAAATGAGCCACAGTTGATTCTTTGACTTCAGTTTTGCAACATGCAACATGGAGAAGTTCACTTTTTCAAATGTTGTGGAAAGGTAAACGGATATCTTGAAGAGAGTTTATGAACTCCAGCAGTTTATTCTTCTTATTCACACTGTGGTCAGTCTGCTCAGTACAACTGAGCCTGTTGACTGTCTGTCTGTTGACTATCTGTTAACTGCCTGCTGTTTCCTGCAGGGCTCTGGCAGACACGAGGCAGATAGGCAAGCTGACCAGGGAGCAGTTTGCCCTCGCCATGCATCTCATTCAGCAGAAAGTCAGCAAGGGCATCGACCCTCCGCAGGCCCTCACGGCTGACATGATCCCCCCTTCTGAGAGAGGCACTCCTGTCCCAGTAGGTCCCACACACACAAACACTGCATGTTCACTACAGCTTAGGGAGCTTCCTGTATGTTTGTGTATCTCATGGGGTGGTTGTGGCTCTTCCACTAATCATAGGGTTGATGGTTCAGGACAGGCTAGCACGTTGCATGAGTGGTGTGAGTGGCAGGATGAGTGTGTGTGTGTGAATGGGTGAATAAAGGGAAAATTGTAAAGAGCATTGCATAAAAACACTATATAAATGCATCCATCCATTCAACATTAGTATTATGTGTTTTGAGACATGTAATATTTGTTAATATTACTATCCCCTGTGCTTACGTTATGACTTTATGGCTTAAACAATAGGCACACTCATTAACTAGAGCCAGTGTCAAACAACACATCAGACTTCAGAGAAAAACATTCAGATTCATAGTAAACGATCTGGATCTGTCCTGAAATGTAACGTGTCTTCCCTGGTCTATCCCTCCGCCAAGTCTGGTGCAAATGTGTTCAGTACGTTTTCCTGCTGACAAACAGACACAGGTGAAAACATCATGTCCTCGGTGGAGGGAAATATCATACAACAGCACCTCTGCTCTTCTTCCCAGAGAGTAATTCATTTTTTTGTGTTTGTAGCAGAGGTGGTCTTTATATCATCATTTCTTCAGAGCACCATAGAAATGTTAATTCAACCTTTTTCATGTCGTCAGTATGACTGTATGACTGTCAGCTGCTAAACCAGAGTCCTATTAACGTGGGATAATACTAATATTAGATAACACAGGAAAAGAACAGAACTTGTTCAGGACTGATGATTTTTTCAACATGTCTTAAGAAGTGTGGGATGTTATAACTGTTCCTGTTGTTATCATCATAGTCAGAAACTAAGTGATTTCTCTGTGGCTGCAGAGTATGTCAGGATACATGACCCCAGTTGGATCAGAGATGGCTGCTCTGTCTGAGATGAGACGGGTGAGTCCATTCTTGTTCTTCTCTTCTCTCTTCTCTCATCTTTCTCCTGCTCTTTGCATATTGGTGCTTTAAGGTGTGAAGTTTTGTCTGTAGACATCCTGTTTCTTGAGCTGTACTAATTTTCCAATGTGCCTAAGCTGCCCACAGTAGCCAGAGAAAGTAAGTGAATCCTGAAATATGGTCAGAGCTTCATCCAAGTTACATTTATGAACAAACATGATTTAATTTAACTAATAAACCCCCGCGTTTGTGTCTATATCAGAGGCTCAGTCATATCTCTAATACATTTTTAGACCTTGGTCGTTTTACCTACATCTTTTAGCTGGATGAATGACTTTAGCTGTGTTTTGTTTGTAGATTTTAAGTTGTGTTGAGGACTTGTCTTGTGCAGGTCTCATCATGGGACTTTTACCTGGTTTTAAGTTTTCTATTTTAATAGTCATGTTATTTTGTGAGTTGTTCTTGAACTGAATTCAGCTATAATGGCTGTGTGTGGACTGCAAACTTCAATAATGACAGTAAGAGGAGGATATCCTGAAGTTGGAACTTTGAAAAAGGATCAGCTGATCCACGGCTTCGTTTCTATAGCTGCTGCCCAGGCAAAGCAGATTTCCTTTGTCCAGTCCTCCAGTCTTGCTACACCAGTGGCCCGATTGCTGTCCACCCTGATGTCTCAGCTGTCTTTTCAGAGGTGATGCACCACAGCTCAGAGGGGGACATGGCTTCTCCACTCTCTGTAACAGTTTCATGTCTCTGATGGATGAGGCTCTGGTACATCCTGGTGATGCCTCTGCAATCCTGCTTCCGTAAGAGCCAACGGACACCATCAAGCTATGGCTCCTTCTATCAACACTTTATGTCCTCCATCTGTGGCCAGCGCAGATTGGTCAGCTGTTACTCCATGATTTGAACGAGGCATGAGGATGTTGCAGGAGTTCTTCCTTCCTTTCTGTTCACCTGCAATGATCCTCCAACCTGAACCACTGTCCTCATCGCGGACCGAGGGCCCGTTGTCCAGTCCAAGTAGCTCACCTCTCCACAACACTACTGGGAAAACGTAGGTTTAATTGTTTGTGGAGAATATGCAGCTCTATGTGTGGTGTAAAAAGGGCTCTGCAGACCAAAATCAAAACATCCTCCCACAGGTGGAGCAGGGTGGAGGGAGCATCAGGATTTGGGTCTCTGCTGCCTCTGGATCTGGACAGCTCCACATCACTGAAGGGAAAATTCATTTTGTCAGGCTGTCTGTCCACTTGCTGAAGCTCAGGAGAAGCTGCAGGACAGTGACCCTAAACATCAAAGTAAATCTACTACAGAAATCCTCCTTCTGGATTGAGGGCAGAGCTGCTCACACCAGACATGCTGAGAACATGTCTGACTGAAGCAGCTCTAGAAGAAGAATGGTCCAAACTTCCTCCTGAACATTGAGCAGCTCTGATCAGCAGCTACTGAAGAGCTGGTTTCAGGTTATAGGTTCAACCAGTTGTTAAATCAAAGGGTTCACCTACTTTTTCCACCAGCACTGTGAATGTTTAATTGCTCAAAAGATGATAACTGCTGATGATTGCTGTGTGATATTAACTTTGTCTGTACTTATGGCTTAGATGATTAGGTGACATGTTCTGACTAAGGATGGGGATTTTCAGTACTTTCAATATTCGAGTACTCTCATTACCTTATGAAAGAGTACTCGATTACTCCCAAATTATATATATGTATGTATGTGTATGTATATATTTTTTTTACTAAAAAAAAAAAAAAAAAAAGAAATATGGGAAGTCCGTGTCCGGCTGGAAACACAAGCAGAACCTATTTTGAACAACTGAGTTGACTAATGTAGCCAAAACAACATGTGCGCAGGTGCACGAGTAGTGAAACGCTACTCAAAAAATGACGTCAACAACGAGTACTCGAGTACTCATGCCCACCCCTGGTTCTGACCAATCAGTGTTGAAAAGCAGGCTCACAAACTCTTTCCTGTCACAACTTTATAATGTGACACATGTAGACATGAAAGTGGCTAATTAGATGAGAGGTAAAGCAGTGACATCATGATCACTCACCCAGTCACATTTACTGCGCACTGTTGTACTGTGGTGTTTTTCTTGTGCTGCTGATGTTTCTGCCTCTCCCTCTTCCTCCTCTCTCAGGCTATAATGTTCAAGCTGTGGGTAGGTAACATGGACCTACACTGTATGAGCTATAAATGCTTTCAGTGGCTGGTTGTTCAGGCTGATTACTGGAAAGCATTTGAAAAGAGTTTCTCTCTATTCCAGTGCAGTGCAGTGACAGTCTCACCCCATCAACTGTCTGCTGATCAAGGGAAGATTCAAGATTATATTTAGTTACTTCAAGAATGAGTATCGCTGACAAAGCAGGTACAGTCTGTTGTGGCAGCTGTTTGTGGCTCTGGTGTAAATAAGTTTGATCAATCAAATCAAGAGCATACTGTATAGTTCCATTAATACTACTCCAGCTTTTAAGGGCTGTGGTCTTTGATTTTTCTCTACTCTCTGCAACTAGCATCACAAAGAAATGCTAGTAGAAAAGTTCCGGAAATTCATTGAAGCACCATGATGAAAACATTTTGAATGTTCTCGAAGTGAAAAAATATAAGTCATAAAATTGTAAAATCCTGAATCTTTCCTCTCCATGGCAGAGGTGGTGACACTCCCCCACCTGTTGGTGATTGGCCCAGCCCCCACCTGCTTCCACCTCTGTGGTGCTCCTCTTATTGACCACTGGTTTCTCTCCTGTCCTCTCTTTACCTCTCTGTCCTTCCTGTGGCCTGGTCTGCCATGGCTCAGTTGGTGCCATTTCATCAACCCACCTTCTTCAACAAATATGGTTTACTTTGCCAACCTGTTGTCTGTTTTGTCTTCCTCCTCCTCCTCTCCTTCTCTCTCTCTGCTCATCTCTCTCTCTACAGGACAGCTCTAGTTCAGTGGGGTCAGGGGAGTTCACTGGCATCAAGGAGTTGGATGACATCAGTCAGGAAATAACCCAGTTACAGAGGTAACAAATAGTGTCACTGCGGCATCGGACTAACATGACAGCACAAGAAGTGTGAGCGCTTTTACTTTAACAGCATTTTAAAGCTGCACAGAAAATGAATCATTTAGCTAGAGCATAATGCAGTAACAGCAGTAACAACAGTAACAGTAGCAGCAGTGTTACCATGTTTTTGGTAAGTAATAACCTTGATATTTACCAGATGCAGCCTGGAATTCAATTCTGGTTTCACTGTTAGCTTCTGTTCACTCTGTGATGAATGTACCTGCTGATGTGTCAAATCTCCTGTCACTCTAACATTAGCTCCATCACTAATCCTTTGTCATCATCTGCATCCAGGCTTTTATCACTATCTTTACTGAAAGACACTGACTTAACTATTATTATAGGACCTGAATCTTTGTAGCTATGTCTGTGTTTCAGAACCAAAAAAAACAAAACAAACAAAAAAGTCAAATTAACAACTACAATTAGATAAACTAAAATGTACCTGCCTTTTTTAAAAACATGATCACAAGATGGAAAAAGTCTAGTATAGTTCACTGGTTTCATAAAAACTGCATCACAGCACAATTTTTAAACTTGGATAAAAGACATTTTCACCCTGGCAAATCCCGATGAACCCACACAGAATGCAAGTCTTCACAGGATAAACGTCTTCTGACAGGGTGGACTGTTGGTGGACACTTATTGGAGTCATTTGTGTTTTTTTGTCACCTTTTTAAATTGATCATCATTGTCATTACATTTTGTACAAGGAAAGTTTCCAATTTCCTAAACCTTATAAGCCTAAAAAGGTGTCTGAGTCAGCTTCAGTGGCAGTTTACAATGCGTCTGTAACTCCAGTGTTTACATACAGTAACAGAAGAACCTCCTGTTGTCCTTGTCAGCCTTCATCTTTATGAAGTCACACTTTAGCAAATTAGCTAAATTCTGAGGCATTGAAAATGTGTTTCTCGATAACCACACAGTACACACACTATATTCTCACATATACTAACAAGTGTGTCCACTTCTGAAAAATGCTGTCACAGTACACTTAACCCACACCTGATGTGCACTAATACTGTAGTAAGATTCAGAGCCCATTGGCACTACACCACACCATTTATTGGCTGTAATGCACCTGTAAGTTGAAGTTATGACATGTCAGATTCAGGTTTAATATAAACTGATGTATTGTTTTCAGCATTAGCTACTTGACATCCATCGTCTTATTTTCAGTGATGATTTATGATTATTTTACATACATTTTTATCGAACGTTTAAGCACAGTGGGTGTGCCTCGAGAACTCCTGATCTAAATGCTTTGATAGTTGTATTACTCCTTAGTTTTTATGTTAAAATCAAACCAGCAAATCCTCTGAGCTTGACTGAGCCATGTATGATAACAATCTATGAGAGAGCTTCAGTAAGCACACATGTCCCAGTGTGTCAAGTACTTGTCTACTGCAAAGTGAGGGTACTGAGCCAGACCCTCAGTGCATGGATTTACAAGGAAGATGTTGATATCCAGAGACAATGGGCAGCAGCAGAGCTAACCTCACAGAGCCCTCAGCTCTGTATAGACTGTATACCGATGGTCCACTGGATCCCCTGTGATAAAATGCACACTTGAAAAGGAAAGCTGCACTAACAGATGTGGATGAGCTGAACCACTCATCTTGGCTTTGTGTCATCCTGCTGCTTTCTTCCTTCTTCCATCCATCCATCCATCCATCTCTCCATCCGCCCAGCCAAACATCCACTCTTCCTTTGATGTGTGTATTTTATCAATCTTTTGTTTGTTCACCACTTACTCTCCATGCTGCCTCAGCACTCTTGCCTTTACCCAGTGGAATACTCTCAGGTAAAAACACAAACCACTGAATATCCCTGGACTGGTATTCTGTCAGATCTACTGTGACACACACAGAGTGAGTGAGTGGTGGTTCTGTCCTCCACTGCTCCTGCATAGAGGTGATCAGTCGGCATCACATACTTTCACATTTGTACATGGGAAAGTGGTCTCAGACTTTTAGATCCTACTGTGTGTGTATTCAAGTAGTTCTTCAAAGCTTTGAGGTGTGTTTGCGGTCGTTATCCTGTTTCTCTACAAAGATACAAACCAGAAGGTGGAGCATGTCTCTGAAGAATGGATTAGTACTTCTCCTTGGTCAGGGTGGAGTCAGTTCCATGCAGGTGTCTTACTCAAAAAGTAGCAAAACAGTCTTGAAGAGACCATATTCACACAGCAGCCATTATCCTCTGACATCATGCTGTGGATGGGAAGCTCAAATTCTGTCACTGAGAGGATGATGTCGTATTGCTCTGGTCCAGGATGCTAGTCATATGAACGTAGAGAATCTGACGAATCATCAGAACAAAACAAGATCCTCTTCTTATTGATAATTTATGTCATAACCTGTTCTCTGTAGGGAGGTTCGTTTTTACTAGGGGATGCCTTTACCCTGACATCGGTGGTTACCCTCATCCTCAACTTTGACTGAAATCAAATCAAAACTGTTTGTAGTGTGTCACTCGGTTTTCCAACTGTCATTTAATATGAACTCACAACGTCAAACCTATCAGAAACGCCGAGAATAAGCCTCAGTCATTCACAACAAATAAAACAATGAAAGCCTAGTAAGAAATAACAGGGAGCGTGATATGGTATCATTCACCAGCCTTTTAGCACAAGGACTGATTTTACTAAATTGGAAACAGAAAACTCCACCCACACATTTGAATGTAATGAGAGAAGTAATGAAAGATTTGGAACTAGAGAAAATTTAATTCTCTGAAGAAACAGGAAGATCTGACAAAAAATCTGACAAATTTTTATGAATCACATCCATAACATCAAATTATCTGACGAGTTGAGACGGTGTCTTAAGACAATGCAAGGAAACAAAGGAATGGAACATACTCAGGGATGGAGTTTTGAGGTGTCGACCACCCCTCTGAATATTTCATTATTGTAACTTTTTTAAACTTTATTTATTAATTTCTTCATTTTCTATCTTTATTCTCTCTTTGTTTATCTAATCCATTGGCGGGATATGTATATTGCAATTGGTACTGATAAAGTTCCAGTATAGTCAGTCACAGATGAGGGTTGTTACACAGCTTAAAAGCAAGTGGTGTTACCCGCCTTCAGGATCGGTGGAGTAATTCTCCCCTTTTGTGTGTGGACATATTGAACATGATGGACAACTGCAAATAACCAAAGCATCGAGAAGGAACACTGAAAAGTGTGAACTGTCTGGTGATTGTCATGTTTTGTGAAGAACAAGGTTCTCAGAATAAGATAAAATAAAGGAATGAAAGGCTAAGTTAGCAGTGATGCACTCTCTCTGATGCCATTACTGTATCACTGATACAGGTTGATCATGAAGCTGTATAATGTTAGTCTTAAACGTTTGCACAAGCCAATGAACTGATTTCTCATCTGACAACTTTAGCAGCACTAACATTGACATTTATGATAATTGCAAACTTCATGTTTGCTAGCCTAAAATTACCTCACAGTGTTTCCAGTGTCTTCAACCACCTGGTCATTCTCACACAGGATTTAATCAGAGACACTAAGGGCTTCCAACCCTTAGTGTGATGTCAGTGGAAAATGGCCGCCATGTGAATGTGGCCTATATACAATGGATTGAATGTTCCCACCAACATGTTTCACTGTGGGTTTAATTCACTGAGATATCATTCTGTCTGCTGTGAGTCTCCTTACAATCCACCACAAGACAGCTTCTTCTGACAGGACTCCTGCTGATCGGAGTCTTTTGTTCTTTATTTAATGAGTTCTGTATCTGTGACGAAGTTGCTTTTCTATCTCTCTCTCTGGGAACTGAGCTTGATGTATTGATCTTCTGATTGTGCTTTGGACACAACTTATTCTGTCTCTCCATTCTCCAGTTCCATTGAATATATAAACACAACACATGTTTAGATGACGTGTGTGTTTTTGATTAATTTGATTCATAAGTCATCAATTATTCATTCAGATAATGAATTTAAGTAATTAGAAAGGCACACTGATCACACAGAGTCACAGTTTTTAGTTTCTTTCTGTTTGTGTCATGAAAGATTTGACAGAATCCCAGTCCAGTGTCTTATGACTCTGACTTGTTGATGTGTGTGCACAGCAGAGGGATAGAAGTTACTTTCTTTTCTGTTGTTATAATTTTGCTCGTGTGTGTGTGTGTTTGTGTCTCAGGGAGAAGTACACTCTGGAGCAGGACATCAGGGAGACAGAGGAGGCCATCAGATATAAGAGTGCGGAGGTTCAGGTGAGAGCTACATCAGCTACAGTGTAAACACAGCTCTGTTGAATGTGGGCTGTTTAAACTAATATTGAATCATGACACTGTGGTCTATCACCCTTCTATTTCTATATTCTAAGTTATAATATTTTAACCATAATTGCTTGCTCTTTGCCTTTCATACACAAACACACTGCGCTTCTATACAGGGCCTGTGGTTGCAGTGTGTATGTAGTGCACACAACAGCTTGGCTTTATTTTACTTGCTTGTAATATGGTGAACACTTGTCTATTGGATGTGACACTTGTTTAAATTAATTTCCCATCAGGAGATGCAGAACGACCTGGACAGAGAGACAGCCAGCCTGCAAGAGCTGGAGGCTCAGAAACAGGATGCCCAGGAACGCCTGGAGGAGATGGACCAGCAGAAACACAAACTAGAAGACATGCTCAATGAAGTCCGCATGAAGTGCCAGGAAGAGTCTCAGATGGTGAGGAAGAGCGGGGGAACTGGGGTTTCGGGTGAAACTAAAAACACTGTGATGCACAGGGACCACGGAATCTTAAATAATGAAAATGTACTTATTAAATGTATGTTATTGTTAATGGTGGTGATTTTGGAATCTGGTTTTGTTTAACTGTTCAGCTGAGATGGTGCAGAAGGGAAGAAATGGTTGCATATGGTCTCAATAACTTACCACCTAGTGCTGGTATGGCCCAGTGTTAATTTCAGATCCTATTTTCATTTCTTCATTTTCCTCTGCCTCCAGATCTCGACCCTCCAGAGTCAGATCCACTCCCAGGAGTCAGACTTGCAGAGCCAGGAGGAAGAACTGAGCCGGGCAAAGGCCGACCTGGGCCGGCTGCAGCAGGAGGAGAACCAGCTGGAGCAGAGCCTGGCTGCAGGGAAGATCCAACTGGAGACCATCATCAAGTCTCTGAAGGCCACACAGGATGAGATAAACCAGGTAGGACACAAGGCCTGTCAACAGGGGGCGCCAGTGCACTCTATAATCTGCTTCTTTATTACTGCCTGCGTACATGCGTGCGTGCGTACGTGTGTGTGTGTGTGTGTGTGTGTGTGTGTGTGTGTGTGTGCGCATGTGTGTACCTGGACTTCTATCTTTGTGCGGACCAGTTTGAGTTTTAGACCTTGGAGGGGAGGACATTTTGTCTGGTCTTCACAAGTCCAAATGGCTGTTTAAGGGTTAATACTTGGTTTTAGGGTTGGTGTTAGAGTCAGGTTTAGGTTGGGGTAAGGGGCTAAGGAATGCATCATAATAGCTAGTGTCCTCACGAAGCTAGAAGCACAACTAGTGTGTGTGTGTGTGTGTGTGTGTGTGTGTGTGTGTGTGTGTGTGTGTGTGTCTTTTATCTGGAGCTGGTGTGTCATTTAGCTGTAGCTGCTGTGTCACACACACCATTGAACCTTCTGCAGCTAACATACACATCTTGAATGCAGACACACAGGGCTTGTAATTGGCCCATTCTTTTTTCATAACATCCATTATGGATTACACTCTGACACAGACTGAAGGCTGTACCTTGCCACTGCTCCCTCTTCCAACCAGAAGATCACATAGAGAGTTGAGGAGTGTCTGCAGTTCATCATTTCCTAGCTCATATCCAGTCGTATTGTTTCTAGGAACAGTCATGTTGATTTTCATGTTGTTAAAAGTGTTTAAAGTGCATGTCATATACCAGAAACATCATAGGTCTGAATTCATGCCAATCTCATTCATACAAAGAGGAAACAGTAAAGTAAAGCCCAAAGCTTTAGACTCAAGGTCTCTAGATCTCAAAGGTGGCTGTAGAAAGACGGTGTTCTCTTTCTCAACAGAGAAGAGCTGCTGTGGTGAGCTTGGATTCATGTGAGTTACAACTGAGTTTTCATGAAGTTGGGTAATACAGGCCACCAGGTCCTAGTGAAGTATCAAAACTTCTAAAGTCACTCCTGCAGTATATCCTCAGCATCTTCAATCAAACAATATTGGTGTTGTGACTGTGTTCATCTTAGTTGTGTGAGAATTAGTTTACCCCAGTACAATAGAGCAGGATGGAGTTCATGTGTGGTGCTCACAGAACTGAAAACTTTTAAAAATGACAAATATTTCTTTCTACAGTTTCCTCATTACTGTGGAATAATCCACAGAACACAGTTTTCATATGGACTATTTTTTCTGCCTCTGCAACGGAGGCAGCAAGCACTACATGCTTAATGTTTCAGGTTGTCCATCCGTCCCATTCTCATGAAGGTGATATCTCTGTAACGCCTTGAGGTCACTTCTTCAAATTTGGCACAAACATTCACTTGGACGCAAAGATGAACTGATTAGATTTTAGTGGTCAAAATCACTGTCACCTCACAAAACACTTTATTGGCCAAAATTCATTCACTAATTATGACGCAATTGAACACAAATGTCTATTTTATATCCAAAAGGTCAAAGGTCAACTTCACTGTGATATCATAATGTTCTGTAAAAACACTTCTGGGGGGCCGATCTCTTCAACAATGGGAAAGTGCCATATTTGAAGAAATTTGATGAAGAGTGAGAGGTTGGGCTGATTATTAAATGGCCAAATTTTTTCAGGTAAACTGCTGTTGTACTGTGATGTATGGAATATACAGTAACCAGGACTTTGCATGGAGTCTGTTAATGGCACTGAAATATTATTCAGTACACCTATAGTGAGCACCACAAACAAAAAACTTCATTTCATTGGTGCAGAAGAAGAAATGGGACAAACCTGGACAGATCAAAACAAATGTATCTGCATGTCTTGATACCAATACCACTACTACACCACTTGACTCTTCAAGATATTGTTCATGTGGTTCAGCTGACTGTGGTTGTTGCATCTCCTCTGCATTCATACTGTAAACACCGCTGACACTGCAGTACACCTGAGATGTGAATGAGGTCTCCCTGCTGTTATCAGATGACATGTGAATGTATGTGTGTATTGGTTCAACTCCAACAGGTTCATCAGCTTTCATGTGCCCCTGTTATTGAACTGTGTGTGTTGTGTGTCCTGCAGGCTCGCAGTAAATTGTCCCAGATTCAGGACAGCCAACAGGAAGTGTCTAAAAGCATCGAGCAGTACAACAGCACCCTGAATGGGACCCATGGCGGCAGTATGACCAACCTGGCTGACATGAGTGAGGGCTTCAGTGACAGAGAGAACGGAGGATTCCTAGCCATGGTGAGAGCAGCACAGGTCAGGAACTCTATCACAACTTTTACCTGCTTTGTTTGGTGAAGTGTCACAGAACACACATGCTCTCGTACACCCAGAACGGCAGACCTAGAAAGACCCAGAAAGACAAGAGAAGGCCGGTACAGAGACAGACAAGGGCAGTAAACACTATGGATTTTTGATGCAGCCCACCACTGCAAAATATAAAGAACAGAAACACTATATTGACTGTCAGCAGTGGAAACATTTTTCTTTAGTTTAGGCTACTTATTTATTTTACATAAGCTTGTTATTCAAAGAGTACTAATTATGTATTCAAATAACTTACATTTTACTTAGAAGTAACACAGGACCCCTAAAAATAGCAACGTATTTGTAACCAGTGTAGAGACCAAGTAGTATGAAGCTGTTTGTGTTGCATTTGGGAGGGGTGCAACACTATTTGTATTTATTCTGTTACATATGCATGACTTCTTCAAGCAGTATGGCAGGTAATGTAGTAGATAGTCATTGTAAAGGACTTCTGGAACACTTGGGTTATGTTGCACAAGATGGCTGTTTATGCTAATACAAAGAGGAAAATACAGCTTGAGGAAAAGAATCAGTATTAGACATGGCAGCTAGAAGAGAGAAGGTTTTCAAACTAAGGGCGCAGCAAAGCTGAACAGAGTGGAAACATGGGAGGCAAAGATTCTGTGTGAGGTGAAAGAGACGTGTATGCTGGTTTTTTTTAACAAGAGGAGGTTAGTTATCAGAGTTTGCCTCACTTATCAGCACAGCCAACAGCTGGAGCAGCAGCAGCAGCAGCTGTGAGACACAGCTCCTGGGGAGTTACCATAATTTATTTTTGTCAAATGTAATTGTCTTGGAGTTATATATCAGTCAGATTTAAAGAGACAGATGATAGTTTTATTTATTACATAAAAAATGTATTATCTCCGATGTCCATAAATGCACTTAGAAAAAGCTAGTTAACTCTAAACAGAACCTGCGAAAAGCTCATTCATGCTGTTAATGGAAAAAAATAAAAAACAAAAGTTCTGTCCCACAGCCCATATCAACTCACTGACTCCATAGCAACACTATTCTTCCTGTTTGTAGCCCCCTAATCATGGGAACTGTAGTTAAGACATGATTATTCCCTGTGTGTGTGTTTGTGTGTGTGTGTACTTATACTATCTTTGTGAGGACCAGTTTGAGTTATACAGTTATGGATTGAGGACAGTCTGACTGCTCCTCACAACTTCAGGTTAAGGGTTTGGTTAAGATGAGACATTTAGTTGTGTTGGTTAAGGTTGGGGTCATGTCAGTGAGTGTCCTCGCAAGGATAAAAGTGTGTGTATCTGAGTGTAAATTTACCTCTTCTCTGAGATAGAAATGAACTGAAAGCTTTTTATTTATTTTAGCTGAATCCATATTTGTCCTTATTAAGTTGTTGAAGGTGAGTCAGGAGAGCTGCAGCCAGCCGGAGGGAGAGATAGCTGACTGTTTCCTGCTGGAAGCTGTGACCCCAGAGGTAGTGCAGAGGGAAGGCTGTAGTGCCAGCAACCAGTAGTGAACTTGACATCCATCCAGTAAACATATTGTTATGTATTATTATTTTCCTTGTCTTTGGTTTGGTTTGGAATAAATGACCTAACCTCTCTTTACCAGTCTGGAAAGCAGTCTGTCCTGTCAGGCTGAAAGTCTATTTCACCATAAATGCGTGATGTTGCACCTGTAACCATAGTAACACTGTGTACTGACACGCCCTGGAGTGTACTACTACATAACTGCAGGAAGGTGACGGGTGGACTGAGTTTCTATATGTGCAACAAACAAACTTCCACACACATCTGGTGGCTCATAAGTGATGATTGATACTTTTTATGAGTCTATAGAAGTCCTGCATATGATACCTTTTAATTTTTTTAATTTTTTTATTTTAAATTGATAAAAATCAATCTAATCTAATCTAAGTCGAGGCCAGGCGCATCTTCCTTTAATGATCCTTGAGATTTGTCTCGAGCCCAGTTGGAATTCACCTGTAGCAAATTGAATTGATTGACATAGATTAGACACACCTGTGTATATAAGGACCCACAACTCATACTGCATGTCAGGACTGAGACTAAGCTTGGGCAACTCTCTGTGGTCAGGCATAGAGCAAGGTTATAAAGTCATTTTTAAAGTTTTGAGTGGTCCCAGGAGAACAGTGGCCTCAGGACAAGTCTCTCACTGTCCCAGAGTGGCCCAGCTTGTAACCTCACAGAACATCTGTGGACAGACCTGAAGATGGCCATTGACAAAATCTTCCCATCCAGTCTGAGGGAGCTTAAAATAATTTATTACAATTTAAACAATAATAAATCCAGGTGTGCAAAGCTTGTAGAGACTGAACCAATAAGCCTCAGAGCTGTAACTGCAGCCAGAGGAGCTTTTACAAAGTACTGAATTAAGCCTGAATCCTTTTTTTAAATGAGAGATTTCAGTTTTTGATTTTTAATAAAGTTGAAAACATTTTTAAAAATATGTTTTCACTTTGTCATTATTGAATAGAGATTATTGGGTAATATTATCTATTTACATTTAAATCTGCAACAGAATAAAGCAAGAAATTGGAGGGGTCTGAATACTTCCCTGGGAACACACTGCCTATGTTGCGTGATCGTATCGGCTGATGTGGCTGACTTGCTGCGGAAAATCACGTGTGTGTGTTCACACCTGCTGTTTGTCTGCTGCTGCAGCTCTGTCTCTCTACATAGAGTTTGCAGGTTACTGGAATATTAAAAATTAATTTCTGTTTTTTTTTGGACAGAAATGTCACTAAAATGTCTCTGTCTCCCTATGCAGCTGCTACAAGTGTTAAGAATATATTTATATTTTTTCATGTCTGTGTCATATTCAGATTCAGCCTAGACATAGAAACTGTAGTGGATGATGTCAGTTTATGTGATGTTGCTGCTATGCAATGCAGCCACTTGCTGCCCTGCCAGTATGTCGGTTTAACCTGTTCACACATGCACCAAAATGAAAACCAAGACTTTCCACAGCCGCCTCGCACACACCACACACCTTAAGCCACTATGTAGGGGGAGGCCCCTGAAAGTCTAAGCATTGATAGGTGTTTTTCTGGAAGGCAAGTTGGAAAGAAAACCAATTGTAATATGATGATAATGGCTCACAGTTTCAGACAGTTTCTCCTCAACGACATTCATAGTGTTGTACACATGAAAAGTGATAAATATAGTAGTGTTCACAGTGAAAATTGGGAGTCAGTGTCGGATTGTCAGTTTTTGTTGTTGTTTTTATTGTAAGCCACCACAATTGGATGTTGCAAGCAGTTTGATGAAGCACACTTAATATTGTTATATATTCAGGAAACACCCTGTCAAACTATGTAGTCTGCAAAAAGCACTAGTTTACTTATAATGCCAGTAAGATAAAATCAATACAGACTTTTGATTCCAGGCTCTTTGTGGGCACTGCCTGACTGGTTCCATTTTGGTGTTATTTAGATTTTTGCTGGACAAAACACAATACTAAACCTAAATGATCTCAGAATGTATTACATAAGTACACCATATTATAGTATTTTAGCCCCACATTCCCACTTCTGCCTCTATTATTTATAGTTTCTTCATCCTCTCTTCTTCATCCTCTCTGCTCCAGCCTATTATCATCTAGACAAGCGATTAGAGCAGTTTGCAAAGTGCAGCAGACCTAATCCTCAGCTGCCATTTTTCTCATTTCAACCTCAATTTTGAAAACCCTGGTTATTATTTCCTCTCCCTGACTCTACACTGAGTTCCCTGCAGAGTTCCTCTGCTCCAATGTGATTGCAGTTTAGCTCTGCTTTTATTCACTTTACTCAGAATAACATCGTTAGCTTGGCTCAGCCCCTCACACAGCTGACATTCCACACAGATTCACATGTTCCTGTCGTTTCAGACTGTTCAGGCTTCATTTGGTTCAAAGGTGTCAGTTCATATGTGAATTGCACATAGAAGATTTATTTAGTGCAAATATGTTGAATTAGCACAGTTGACAGTAGTTTTCATATAATCTGGGAATATTTGTGTGTGTGTGTGTGTGTGTGTGTGTGTGTGTGTGTGTGTGTGTGTGTGTGTGTGTGTGTGTCTGTCTGTCTGTCTGTCTGTCTGTCTGTCTGTGTGTGTGTGTGTGTGTGTGTGTGTAATATATATATTTGGGAGCAACAGTGGGATTGGAGTCATGGTTTCCTATGAAACACAGTATAGATCTTCTAATGAACCATAACAACGTAGAGGCCACCACAGAGTCTGCATGGCATGTGAAGAATTTCCACATTCCACATTTACACACACACACACACACACACACACACACACACACACACACACACACACAGATGTAAAATGGTAAATGCAGCCAAACATTCACTGTTAACAAAGAATGCAGTTGTTAAAATAAAGATTCACTTATTGTTAAGTTTAAATATAGATTTAATGAACACGAACCACAACACACTAGTTGCTCAGTTGATATTGTGTTATTGTAGACATTGTGTTTGTTGTGTGTTTCTTATAAAGAATCTGTTTTTAGTCTTAGACCTACACTCTGACAGTTTAGACAAGATATACCTGTGCAGGAAAGGAAAATGTTACGTGTGTTTCTTCTCTCCACAGGAGGATCCTTTCAAAGTGAAGCCATCAGTGTTCAACAGCCAGCCTCAGGAGCTTCCCCCTGACCCCTTTCACTCTGAAGACCCCTTCATCACAGACCCATTCAAAGGTTATCATCACCCTTTACTTCCACTGTTCCCTTTTATACTTCAGTGATCCTCTATCTCTTTTCCTCAGGATATATATTTTAAATTTTCTTCTACTCTGTGACTCTCCTCTGCCATCCGTTATTCTGCCTCCCCTTGTCTTCCTCACCCTCTCACTGTCGACAGTATGCCTCTCCTTTACTCTCCTATCTTCTCTTAGCTGACTCTTTACTGTTTATCTTAAGTTGTCTTTCTTCCAGACTACTTATTGTTTTCAGCTCGAGTAGCTCTCTGACTGTCTTCTGTCTTCCTCCTCTCTACCTCTTTGTTTTCCTCCTCCTCTTCCCTCTCTGCTTGATTCTTCTCCTGTAGGTGACCCTTTCCAAAATGACCCCTTTGCCAAGCAGCCATCAGCAACCACAGGTATTTACTTGGGGAAAAGGAGCTTAAAAACTGAAATCTGTTGTTTATAAAAAATATTCAGACCCTTAATTCAGATCCGTGTAGAGGCCTCTGCTTCCAGGTTTGGGTAAGTATTGCTCACCTGGATGTGGCAGTTTGTCCCATTTTCTGCCTCCACCCTGGCGACAGCTGTGACTGGAGGCAGTTATGTTTTCTGGTTGTCTGTCTGTCCTGAATGTGATATCTGAGGAACAACTTGAGAGAACTTCTTCAGGTTTGGCACAAACATTCACTTGGATGTTTGATGACTTCACAAAACATGTTTTTGGCCATAACTCACACATTCATTCAGTAATTTTTTGCACCGAGTTTGCCACCTTATTTTTTGTCCTTTTTTTTTTCAGGCAGCGGTGTACAGAAGTCACTGGGGCTTGTTCAAAGAGTAGACATCATAGGGTTCTCCAAACAGAGCTGTAATAGGACAGGGGTCGTTAGTGACTTCAAGGACCTCTAAGGTGTCTTAAACACAGTAGTCCTGTAAAGTGCAGCTTTTTATATCCAAACGTCAAAGGTCAACTTCAGTGTGACATAATGTTCTGTAAGAACATTTCTGGCCATTATTCAATGCTGTAAGGAGTGTGACCATATCTCCTGCGGCTTGACTGGTTGGTGGAGGGATACAACCATAAGGTGGTGATTCTGGTTCCCAGTGGATCCTCTAAAGCTCCATCAGACTGGATGGGAAGATGCTGTGAACTGCTATCTTGTCTGGGCTTTGACTCGGCCACTCAGAGACTTGTCCTGAAGCCACTCCAGCTCTGTTTTTACTGTGCGCTTGGGGTCATTGCTGTGCTGAAAGGTGAACCATGATCCCAATCTCAAGTGATGTGCACCCTGGAGCAGGTGGTCCTCCAGGACCTCTCTGTATTTAGTTGCATTCAACCTTTCCTCAGTTCTGACCAGATCTTCATGTCCCTGCAACAAAGAAGCACCTCCACAGCACAATGCTGCCCCCACAATGCTTCACCGTAGGGATGGTATTATCCAGGTGATGAGCAGTGCCACAGAGTTTGGAGCTCTGCCTGCCTGCCTCTCAGAGTCCTTTAAATACTGTTTGGTGAACTCCAAGCTGTCACATGACTTTCACTCAAAGTGACATCTGTCTTGCCACTATACTATAAAGACTTGATTAATGGCCAACTCCAAAATCTACAGCACAATAAAGCATGTCCCCTGCTCCTTAAGTGAACTAATCTGAGAATGAAAAAAAATAATTCTGAGTGAAATATTATAATTCAATTATAATATTTTTGTCCAGCCATGCACAAATTAGACCATCTGGAAGCATCCACATTATTCAGTGACCAAATAAATGAAACATACAAACAAGTATAAAACCATAAACATTTTTCAAAGTACAATACAGTATAATCCAAAATGTCAACATTATACATTCCTAAATGTATATTTTTGATAAAATATGGATAAATATATTTATAAAATATGGTATCACCCATGCCCCACCTCTTTGACCATTTTTGTATTCGTTTGGAGTTAGGCGGAGTCAGACACTGCCAAGATGGTGACAGTGGAACAGCTCACTCTGAGCTTCAAAACCACTCTTCAGAAACCTGCGGGTGACATCATGGAGGTTACGTCCATCTTTATTTACAGTCTGTGGGTGGCAGGCTTGTCTTTTCTTTTTTTTTTTTGATATCATGTATGAAACAACAGCGTGAGCAACTGTGGCTTCTGTCACACTTCAGTGATATTGTGGAGTTTCACTTCTCTGCTCAGTAGATGGAGATCAGTGATAGAAATCATCATTTTAACACAGCCATGAACTTCACAACCAGAAACACTCTGTGAGCACACTGACTTTCTCAGGCTCATTCCCACTGCTCCACCGTATTCAGCCCATGATTGTTTGTTTGGCCTTTACTTGTGTTTTCTCATATTGAAACCATCATTTTCTCCTTCATTCATCTACTTAGTAATCCAAAGCAAATATAATTGTAATGAATTATTATTATATTATATTTAGTTATTATTATTATTATTAATAATAATTTGAAGTCTGCCATGCTGTCAGGGCCGTACACATGCAGAGATAAAGAATGAGCATCCTCTGAGCCGGACCCTTTGAGAGATGTGTAGTATCTCTGCCAGCATGAGAGTGTAGATCAGTAAGATCAAGCTGCATATCATTAATATCATTGTCCACATCAAGTGTGAAAGGAAATGAAAACAAAAGCATGTTACCTTCCCATGTTTGAAATCCACAAACTCTCTCCTTAAACTCTCTCCTCCCCCAGGAGTTCTCTCTTGCAGTGTGGGGAGGTGGGTGAATATGTTGCTGTCCACTTTAAAACTAAGAAGGGTCAACTTCCTCATGAAGGCCTTGACAAGGTTTTTACATCTCACCTGCAACAAGGCCCTTGTGTTGTGGAGTTCAGTTCATTCATGAGGCCAGTCACATCAACAGTAATGTCTAATCAGTCACCCAGTCATTATTATTCAATTGCTCCTTTCCAGTCGTCTCACAAAACTCTTGAATCAAGATCAAGTTAGAGAAACAACAGTGAGAATTATGAAAACTGATGTTGTCCATCGTGTCTGCTGCAGATCCTTTTGGAGGAGACCCTTTCAAAGAGACAGATCCATTCAAAGCTTCGTCAGAAGATTTCTTCAAGAAGACCACGAAGATGGATCCTTTCTCCACGCCAGACCCTTTCAGTAAAAGTGCTACGTTACCTTCCAAGGTACTTGTTGTGGATCAAAGGCTAGAACATATATAACTGTATAAGTAAGGTACCACACTGTCCTGAATACTGTGTGGTTGTATATCATGTGGAGGTGTGAGCCTCGCTCCTGGAGCCTTGTGTAGTCTTAACATATGGGCATTAGTGGTCAAAGGAATTAGAACTCCCAAATTTTTATAGTGTCGAAATTTCAGCAGCTCAAGTCCAGTGATGAACTTTAAATTATACAACAGTCAGCAGTGAATTGCTTGAGGGAAAAAAACGAGGTCACCAAAAACTGAAAATCACATGAATTTCATTGAAAACAGTTTTTCAGGAATGAAGAAATTGGTTAAGTTCCAGTTTTCTTGCAGCAGTGGAAGAAATGACATCTGAACTCTGAAAGTTAAAGTCCTGCAGGTCGATGACTGACAAACCCTAATTCTGTACAAACTAAACCCTCTGATGCATTATTAGTATTAGTATTAGTATTATTATTACTATTAGTTCTGTATACTGCTGTCAGACTGGTGAGAAACAGATCAGTAACAAGGACAGATTGGTTGGTCAGAGCTTCATCTTACAGCAACATAATGAGCCACAACATTAATTAGAACAGAATCCGACGGAGGCTTCGCATGATGAAGACCAGACCAGTCTCCAGACCTGAAACCCATGGAGCTGGTCTGAGATGAACTGGACAGGTGAAAATAAGTGAAACCTGCAAGTGACACACATTAATGGGAACTTGTGGAACTTGTGGGAGGAACCTTCTGAACAATGTTTCATTTCCATTGTTGAGAGACGGTCAGAGTGAGTTCAGCTGCTGGATGAGACAAACATTAAGATTAAATTTAGGATTTAAGATTCCATGATTCCTTGATTTTAAAATCTCCAATTGTTTATTTGTTCTATGTTTAATGTCAGAAACACTGAGACATTACACTCTGTGTGCTCAGTTCCCTCTGTTGGTGTTAAGATTGCTGTGGAGAATAATAGTTTTTCCTGGCTTTTGTTAATCTCTTATTCCTTTCTGTAAGAATCTGTGAGATTTGTGGTAGCACTGATTCTGCAGTTGAGGCAAACAAGTAACATGGAAACAATAAAAAAAAAAATAAAATCTGGGTAAAAACACCCAAGGCATAATGTATGAGTTTGGCTGCTATTTGAGTGAATGTATTAATAAATTAACATTTTATTTTTGCTTATGCTTCTTGCAGCAAGCCAGTCACTTCACAAGCAGTGACCCATTCTCTTCAAGTAACCCAAAACCCAGAGGACCAGGTAGGATTTAGTTTGTTGTCCGACCACATCTGATCTGTCTCTGATCATCATGTAGTTTCTTTATTTTGCTGGACCGGCCACAGGCCAACACTACATCCATGAATGTTATTGCCCCGGTGTGAACAGTTTCTATGATGGCATCAGTGGGCGTTGTTTACAGCAGACCTGACATTTGGAAATGTTCCGTACTTGAATGGGCTGTTTGACTTTTTATCAAATTAGTGAATTGTCATGTTATTTTGTCTGTAACAGGTCTGTAGCTGCTTAGAAACACCATAGTAATAAACTGTCACAGTTATACATCATGTTTTCTTCCAGCTGACAATACAAAGCATTTTTTATTTACTAAAGCAACCCTAACCAAGCTAAATGCTAACATCACAACACTAACATGCTCACAGTGACAATGTTAACATGCAGAGGTTCTGCAAGGTTATTGTTTAGCATCCAGGTTCAGAGTGCTATCATGCTAACATTTGCTAAATGGACTGCACTCATGTAACTTTTCAAGTCTTATCAACCACTCAATGCATACTGTGTTTTTCTATCATACACACTCACACAGGGATGATGGGGGCAGTTTGAGGTTCAGTATCTTGCCCAAGGACACTTGGACATGCAGACCGGTGGAGCCAGGCATTGAACTTGCATTACCTGGTCAGTGATCGTAAATGTGTCTGTGTGATTTTCAGACCTGTTTGGCACGTTGGACCCGTTTGGCAGCAGCTCGTTCAGCAGCAACAGTAACAGCTCCGCTGGATTCGCAGACTTCAGCCACATGTCGAAGCCCAGAGACCCGTTTGAAGGCAGAGCCAGCTGGCTGCCAGACTACCAGAAGGTAACAAAGACTCCCACTAAATATATAAGGTTATATATTTAAAATGCAATCGGGACGCCCTGGTCGCTCACCTTGTAGAGTGCGTACCACATGGGTTTAGTCCTAACCGCAGCGCCCATGGGTTCCAGTCCGACTCGTGGCCCTTTGCTGCATGTCATCCCCTCTCTCTCCCCAACCTTCCTGTCTCTCTCTTACTGTCTCTATCACAATAAAGGCAAAAAAATCCCCCCCAAAAAAAAAATGTCATTTCATTTCTATTTACTCTACATAACCTACATGATGTCACTGGCTCTCAGATTATATTAGAATGAAATTATTGCTAATAGAAGCACATATTGTTCTTATTTCTTTCTTGCCAGTCAGTTTTTGTGGACGACCCATTCAGCAGGAAGAATGACACGCCCGCTCTGCCACCGAAGAAAAGTGTTCCCCCCAGACCGAAACCACCCAGTGGTGAGTGTCAAAAGCCTCGGCCCTGTCAGAACCTTATCACAGCTTTAGTCATTGAAGGCTAACAAAATAATTGTTGTGTCTGTGTTAAGATAATGAGGTGATCTACTTTGACTTTCCAGTATAATAATAGATAATCATTTAGCTTAGAAATTGTACAAAAACATCATCATTTTTTTTTTTTCCAGAGACTGATGATAAATCTTCTGTACGATCATACATATCCTGGCCGAAGCTAGTGGAACAGAGGTTAGCTTAAAAGGGAAGGAAGATGTTGGCTTTCTCTATCAGAAACCTGATGCATGATAGGTTTTGTTTAGTGTGATTACCACATCACCATCATGCCCAGAATCACCACCCTGCTGACTAATACAAACATGCTGACGAATTAAAAGGCAGAGGATGTTTCCACTGACCATCACCAGACAAATAATGAATGAACGAAGAATTAGAAAAAAAATAAATTATAAAGAAAAGAAAAGAAAAGGTAGAGAGAAACAATTTGAGATGATAAAGGAAATTCAAAGTGTTAAAAGATATTAATATGATAACTACAGAGCAGAAGAGAATCAACAGGCTTGGGTATTATGTTGCAAGGGTAACTGTAAATATGTAAATTGAATGAATATGAAACATCAAGATAGTATGAGTAGCAGGTTATCTTACAGGAGCAGGGTTTTTGAGATGATAAATCACAGTGTAGTTTGCTTCTGCTGCCTGTTGACACTCAGGAATAAAAGTTCAGTTTCCACACGCATCTGCACATGTGTATAATAATGCTGCAGTATCATAACTGATCTCAGAACAGAGGACGCTGACTCAAGGGCAGCTTGACCAGCATGCTTATCTGTAGTTAGCTATAGCTCATCACCCGTCAAAGATCCCAGGATCATCTACAATGTGGATAAATATCCATAAAGTGCTGCTCCCTCCTCTGCTTGACAAGTCCCAATGGCCACGCCCACAAAAATGATAAGAAATGATAGATAGAGCGGCTGGTAGTCCACCTAGGTTCTCGATACATTAGCCTACTGCAGCCTCCAGAAGGCAGTACATTACAAACAGTAACTATCAGATCCTCTATGGGACAGGATGCTGTTCTGAGATTTGAGGAGAGATATCGCACCCACTTTGGTATCGTTCTAATTGATGTCTATTTTTAGCTTTAGCTGGGCAAACACTGCTGGCTTTGGTTGGCACACAACGTGTGTGTGTGTGTGTGTGTGTGTGTGTGTGTGTGTGTGTGTACATTGATTTATCAAACATGAGTGATGAAGTGTACAGAACATGATGGACATGGTATAAGATGTGTTCATAGTCATTATCTATTGTTAAAATGGTCCAAGAATGGGCCCCATGTTTTCCAGATCAACCTGAGAGTCTGAACACAAGATTCTCATAATATACTATGTTGGACATGAGTTTGATCAAAAGCTAAAATGATAAGTAATCAGAGTGTGATTGATTTCTGTCGTCTACCAGTAATTCTGTATCCTGTTATCATGGCCGGTCAGCACCACAGTCAGCATCTGCAGGTTTTTAGTCACTGACATCTTTTCATTTACAAAGTCATCTACATCTAATGCAAATCTGGGAATATTAGTTTGACAAACAACTTATCATACTTGTTTCTTTTCAGCTCTCATACACAGACATGATAAGTCACTATGAAAAGACCTGTAACCTTGAAACAAGTTCAATAATCGAATGCAAATGAGAAGAACAGGATAGAAGAATAAAAGAGATAAAATAAACTAAGATATTCTGACCTTTTTGAACTTGGATGTCATGTACAGTTGTTTTTCTTTTTCCCTCCAATTTTGAAGGTACAGTCTCTGCTCTGATCTGTCAACAGGAAAGAATGTCATTGTGGGTACAGAGAAGATAAAAGCCTTCTCGTGCTTGGCAAGCCACTGCTGTCACACACTGTATGCACTGTGTTGATTTTCAAATAAAACACGCAACCGGCAGGGAGTGATGTGCACTGTAGTATGTCATATTGAAGTTTATGAGAGGTGCTTTTTTCCATGTTTTAGGTATTGTGGGTGAACACACAGCTCTTGTTCTGTTAACAAGCTACACAAAAGAAGCACTTGTTGTGCAACAGAAGGAGGAAAAGGGAGGAAAGACCTGCCAGTTTAGACTAACAGAGGTCAAACACTGTGTGAACTGGAAGCAGGTAAAATCTATCAAAGCAGACATATACAATATATTTTACATCAAGCCAGAAATAAGCTTCTGTGTCTGCAAGGCGGTGTATTGTGATTTCGATTATTGTGTGTGTGTGTGTGTGTGTGTGTGTGTGTGTGTGTGTGTGTGTGTGTGTGTGTGTGTGTGTGTGTGTGTGTGTGTGTGTGTGTGTGTGTGTGTGTTCACTTGTGATGAACTGTGTTATAGAAATGTGGTGTCAAATTCACTTGACCTGAATGTACAAGAGATGAAACAGTCTTCTCTCCCATGAAACACTAAATAACATTTAGTGGGAAACATCACAGCTCAGTGTTGATCTGAGCCCAGTGATAACACACACTGAATCTCAGCAGCGCATGTACATGACATGTAGTCGATCCATACATGACAGCTTTTATATTACAAAGAAAGATACTGTATATACAGTATGTGCAGTTTACTAATCCTTTACTAATTCCTGCATAAGAAATCAATGGCATTAATTGTTGGTCACTAAGGAGAGATGGTGCAGTCTGCATGTTGACGAATGTCAGACTGTGACCTTGGACTGTCACTGCTTATTAAACTTCATAAAGATAATTTTTCTAGGTTTCTGGCCTATATGAATGACATTGAAATAATTACTAGATAATTAAACGATTTAATTCTTTAAATTGAAGTAATTCAAAAAGTTGTTCATGAGTAGATGTCATGATCAGAGAAGTGTGACTTTGTTTCTCATAGTATGTGAATTACAGTTACCCAGAATTCCCTTCTCTGTGTTTCAGCCTAAAATGTGGCCACATTTTGCTGCTACACTTACTCACATGCTTGCTGACTCAGTGGTTATAGAAGGTAACTGGAGAGAGGAGTCAGTTGCATCTGTGATGCTCCCGTATTGAGGCCTGCACCTCACACTCATTCTCCTCTGGTTTCTCTACATTTTGTGTCATAATTGTTCACAAACTGCTGCTCTGCTGTTTGTGTGAAGGTGATGTCGTAAGAGCGATGATGTGTGGTTTGCTTGCCCTGTTGTTTGCAGACACACCCAAACTTGCTTCCTCTCTCTTCCCTTTATGTGTGTGTGAATGTTTGTGTGTTTACGAGGGTGAGTGGTTCAGAGAAGGTCAGGCTGCAGGCTGTGTGCAGCGAGCGAGTGCCACCACTGTCACCAAGCTAACAGTTGTTGTTCAATTTGGAGTTTTTATATTTTCCATTTCACTCTTTCACACACAAACACACACACACACACACACACACACACACACACACACACACACACGCACGCTCTGTCACTTTCTATCATCAGCTGGTGTGAGTGGGGTTGCAGATAAACTGGCATTATTTAGGACACATAGCTGCATCTGCACAGTTTCCAATAGATAAAATAGTGCATGCTGCATGTGTACCCCTGTGGCAGGCATTAAAATTAGATGCCACTAATGTAGAGGATTATTTTAAAACAGGGTGGAGCTCATGATTGTGGTTTCTCAAGTGTGAATGTGTGTGTGTGTGTGTGTGTGTGTGTGTGTGTGTGTGTGTGCATGCAGCTTACTGAAAGAGGAAAAAACTGATTGCCAGGCATGCAGTTTTTGCTCAGCGTGGAGTGTGAAATGAACTGCTCACCCCAATCAGCCGGGTTATCTGGGTAATAAGACTAAATGCGTACGTGTATGTTGTATGACAACGGTTTGACTGGTCCTGTGGTTTAACACCTACACAAGCAACATGATGTACTCTTAAAGTTCTCACGATCCTCTGCCAGGCCCAGCATCGGCTCCCTGTTAATAACAGTAACTGCCATTTACTAGGATTACTTTTAGTACTGATTAGCTCATGATTAGATCCAACTGTGGTTGTCCAGCATCACTGAGGCTGATAAACAGCTTTTTTAAATAAAGATTAAGTTTGTATTTATTTTTACTAAAGTTCTGGACTCTACAAGGATATCTGCAGGGAGTCTGCAGTTATACTGACACATTAGAGGTGTCCATAAAGAGTCTTCAATAGAGTGTAAGAGGTATTAAAATTTATTAGAGCACTTAAAATAATTAGGGTTATGAATTGATTTCAAGTCAAGAACTTAAATTCTTAAGATTCAAAATTCTTGTTTTTTCTCTTTTGTCTTCCCGACAGCTAATGTAGGACTGTGACAGTCAGGTTATGTTAAAAAATATTTCACTTCATTTTTCTAAAATCTGAGACTCCTTGTTAATTAACTGGTAATATTATCTGTTTTCCAATATTTATTACATCTGCTCTTGGGCACATTAAATTTATATAAATAGATAAATATAAATATAAATATAAATATATATATATCTATATATAGATATATATATATGTATATGTATATATGGAACAGGAGCGACAGTGGTGTGTTTTTTTAGTTGGTAAACTGGTGAACCATCAGTTGGTAATGTGGGCAGAAACCCAACCAAGTCATGTACCAGGAAACCGTTGAATGGTTCCGTGGTCTATAAATGTATCACTTTTGGTTTTGGTCCTTTGGGTGTGGTCTTCTGCTGTGTGTGTTTTTTCCTTTACCAGCTGTTTTTATATAGTTTCTTTCTTTGGAGAATGAAGCCGTGCATGTGATAGCTTAAAGACAAGTCTCAGTATGAATTGTTTTGGTCTGCCACGTGTGGAGGTGAAACTAGTGTGGCTTTCAAAAGCTGGAAGGTATCATTGAGGTGAGAACGGAGGTGAAGCAGGGCGTGGGCAGATCTGTGAGAACCAGAGAATTTTATTCCAGATCTGAACAGATCACATCAGTCCGATTTTGCCTTATCAACATACAACATGAGTTCACTATGGTGAGAAATGCTCATGAGAGCTGCATTGATGAGTCATGGTATTTCTCTCACCTATCAGTTAACACATGCACTTGGTCTGTTGACATCCTCTGGAGATACGTGAGACTTTAAACCTGTAATGTGTCTGTCCTCATTTTTTGTTTTTACTCTCAGGATGTCCTCATCACCACACAGCAGGTTATTTTTTTGCTGTAACAGCACATATCTGTGTGGCCCTCCTGATCTTTTTCAATCAAGCATTAGCAATTCAGATTTTACTCTTTACTCTCCAGCCAGTTGTTACATTGTTGTCACATGACAATGTCAGAAAAGACAAACTTAGGGATAATATGAAAAGTAATGTTTCACCTCTGTCTCTTCTGTCCTCAGGTAAGAGCACACCAGTGAGCATGCCTGGTGCAGCTGACCCTTCCAAACCATGCGACCCCTTCCAGCCATTTGGCAGCGACGCCATCGACCCGTTTCAGAGTAAAAAGGGTCTGGGAGACCCGTTCAGCGGCAAAGACCCTTTTGCCCCATCCTCATCAAGTAAAGCCCCTAAAGCCTTTCCCTCAGGGTTTGCAGACTTGAGTTTTGTAAGCTGAGATGGGTGATACTGTTTAAGTGTCAGAGTCTAGACCAGGCCACAGAGCACGGCATGTGATCATGAGTCTGTTCGTTGATAGGTCAGATAACGAGAAGGCTCATTAATACAAGGTGTGAATGTAAAGGCCATTGATCAGTTATCATTATACAGATTAGACTGCAGCTAACAACAGTTTTCATAATTTCTTATTACTGTCGATTAAAGTTAAGAATATTTTCTTGAGTAATCATGTAGACTCATGGTGACATCTTCAAATGTCTTATGTTGTTCAAAATGGAAAGAGAGTCAGTCTATTATCATGGAAGAGGGAGACTGCGAGGAGATGTTCACATTTGAGAGACTAAAAAATTACTTATGACAAATTAATTGATCAGACCAGATGGACCGGACTGTAGCCAGAGAGGAAAGTCCTGGGTGGGTTTGTAAACTATTGTTCATGAAGAAATAGTTCCAGGATGTAAAACCATAAATTGTGATAAATTATTGAAATACAAAGTGTTGACAGAACAGTGCTGGAGTATCTCTTTAAACTTCAGCCCTGGTTAAAAGCTGTCCCACACTGTTGTGAGAACAATGACAGATCAGATCTAAATAGCAGCTGAAACAAGTGAAGACTAATTACAGGACAGTTCATAGAGTTTATAAAACTGTGTCCCTGTATTAAAAAGTCCCATTTTAACTGCAGCAGACAATCAAAGAGATGATATGACTAGAAATGAGAAAGAAATTAGACCTAACTTTACCCCCGTTCACCACTGTGACACATCATTTAACCCACTTTAAAAAGTGCAGTTTGATATTAAAGCTGTGTAGCAGCAGAGCAGAGCCTCCTCTAGTGCAGGAAAGGGTGTCAGCCCTTTTTGTGGTTTGTTTGTTTTGGTAGAAAGAATATTGCAGCTTTGTCAGGGTTTCCCCGGACTTTCACAGAGGCTCAGGGCCCAGTGTCATGATGCTCACAGTCTGGACCAGAACTCAAACCTGCTGTAACCCATCAGCAAATAATAACTGCAGGAGCTCCGACCAGTCCCTCAGATACTGAGCATTAGTCACAGGGAATGATGTTTCTGTCTGATTGACAGACATAACTAACATGAGACACAGCAGTATCACTACTCAACTCTCAGCTCTCAAGTCTGTCTCCTCTGCATTAACTTGCTGTGTGTGTATGTGTGTGTATGTGTGTGTGTGTGTGTGTGTGTGTGTGTGTGTGTGTGTGTGTGTGTGTGTGTGTTTGTTTCTCTCAGTTCACTGTTAGCCTTGCTGCTAGTAACTGTTCAGTGCTTTATATTTGCGTGTCTTTGTTTTATTATCTTACTGTAGTTTTGCTTCTGCAACCTGACAACACTCTGCTTCGCTCTGCTTCACAAAAACTTCAGACTGACTGCTTCACTGCAGATGAACCTAATAATTATTCATGATGATTGATTAGCTTGACTTAAAACAAATATTCATGTAGAGTCTCTTTGAAATATTGTATATTACTATTGACTGGAACAAGGAGCCTCAGGGAACAATCTACAAACCATGAAACACTGAGACATGTAGTGTTACCAGTGTGATAAGTTCTTGCAAGTTTTATATAACAATATGTTTATTAAATTATATTCTTATTTGTTCCTCTTAAATGTCCTACTAAAGCTGCCGGATGTAAAGGTGCTTTCAGACAGCAACAGGAGAAGGAGGGCAGCTACTCATAGTTCATGATGGTTCAACTTTCTCAACTCTCCACAGTGGCTCACTTTGAAGAGAAGCTGTATTGGAGCAACATCAGCTTCATGATGATATGATCTGAGATAATAAATATTTAGTGATACTAGTTAGCAAAACCTGCTGCATTAGTTAATGATATCATGTTGCTAACTATTTCCCTTGTTTTATGGCTGGTGGAGAGCAACAGCATGTTGTGCAGGCTGCTAGGATTACAGCCGGGAGCTGGAGATGTTGCTGCGGCAACAGCTCACACTGTGAAAGCATCTTTAGTCCTCTGGAACAGAACCATCTGATCCCAGCCTGGCCTCTAAACATAAAGTATTCTTTAAAACTCAAACTTAAAAACTTTTTTAAGTGATACTTGAAAGGCTTTAAAATAAAAAGATTCCTTCCTAATGTGTTTCCAGTGGCAGTGATGGGGACAAAATCCAAACAGACACAAAAAGAATTCTTTAATTTCACTTGCTGAAAGTGGCCAGATGATTGTGGAGTGTAGCTTTAGGTTTTGTGAATCATAGTTAGATGCTCCTACACTCTGCAGAATGAGGATCACCCAGCTCTGCAACAATAGCTCCAGTTTTTTGTCTGTGCCTTATTGTCTCAGTATGACAGACAGCTGATTTGTTCAAACTTAAGTTCATCCAGTTCAGTGCTACAGTAGAACTACTTTACAGTCCAATAATGACTCCACTGTACGTTACATATCTTTAAATGCCTGTGATGAAGCAGTAATTTCATCTGAGGTGAGCTGTTTTACACACACACACTCACTCGACACACATCCTCGATACGCTTCACTCACACTCACTCACTACACTATATAAACTAAATAAACAGGCAAATTTTCCTGGAAATCAATTCTTCTTCGCTGCTAAAATAGTAGTCTACATAGGATGTTGTATGTTGTGCTGTGCAGCTACTGGCAGCTACAGTTTTAGAGCAGTGAAGAAGAAATGATTTATAGTAAATTGTGTAAAGTTAGCCATCTACTAAACATCAGCAATTTGGCTACATGTTACAGTGGAAAGTCCCAACAGTGAAAAGGAGTACAGTACAGTATGTGTAGTGTAGGAAGTGTTATTTATTTCACGATAAATAATTTTGACAGTTAAATTAGAAATAAAAGAAAGACATCCATGTATCTGTTCATGTTTTACAAAGGGTTTAACATGAGCCATACAACAACAACAGCAATCCTATCACATCCATACAGGGTCAGTAGTGTACAGCTGTTCATTTCATTTATTTCTGTGCAGTGGTTTCAGAGCAGTACTCAGTTTATCAGAATCTGTATCAGGAGGGAAAAAAAGGTGTCTGACGTCTGTAATCTGAATTAGTGTTATGTGGTGAAGCAGTCAGTCGTCATAGTGATATCATTAAATCATTAAAACAAGACTTATCCTGGAATGTGGATAAACTGCTGATGGTGAGACACAGAGTCTGACATCTCATCTCTCTGTCACAGTGGATAAAGCATCTGTCACTGCTGTTGTAGAAGTCCTGCTCAGCTGCTGTCCTTCAGTTCTCTCTGAAGGGCTTCACTGACAGCTCTGTTTCATCTTTCCATGAGTCTCACCTGTGGCCCTTATTGGCACCAGGTGTCTACTACAATGTCAGTAGCTCGTTAGCATTGTAATAATTCATGATTTACTTTAATGAACAAGTAGATTCCAAAAGCATGGAACAGGATGAAGAGGATGAGGAGGGCTGAACAGGAGCTCTGCAGTTTTCCCTTCAGTGTGTGTGTGTGTGTGTGTGTGTGTGTGTGTGTGTGTGTGTGTGTGTGTGTGTGTGTGTGTGTGTGTGTGTGTGTGTGTGTGGTGTGTGTCTGTGTGTGTGTGTGTGTGTGTGTCTGTGCTGTGACGTCCTGTGAACTAGTCTAGATCCATGAGTTGAGTTTCTGCTTGATAAGATGTCTGTTCTGTGATCCACCTCTCTGACAGGACCTGACAAAGCTAAGGTAAGAGACTGAACACACAGTCAAATTCACATCTGATCACACAGTATTTGAATAAATGAGTGTAAAGGCAAGTGTTTGTGTTAATAGATCTCACATCATGTGTTGCTGAATGAGGAAAAGACATTTACCTGAATTAAAAAGCTCAGTTTCTAACATGATGCATGTCACATTGTTGTTTCATTGTTGATGTTTACTTTAGTTTGAACTCACCTGAATGTCAATGCCAATAATAGTATCAATATTTGACAGTTTAAAAAATCTGATAAATGGTCTGACAAATGATATGATCTTTTAAAAATTCGGTTTTATTGAGCATGAACAAAAACATGTAGTTGCCTACTTTGGCAACTAAATCAGTATGTGTCACATACTGATTTACTACTGCATCCAATATAAACAAACATTTAAAATAAGGATCCTTTGATTTTTATTTATTTACCTTTAAATATTGTGACCAAGACATTTAGTGAGAGGGACTTTTTCTAGGCTAAAAACTTGAATCTGTGAGACGATGATATTGTTTTTAAATGTCCTCAAACATCTTTGACATTATTGGTCAACATACATGGCCCCCGGAAGCTTTTTAGTATAATACAATGGAGTACAACAGGCAGATTCCATGTCTCTCTTTCCCTCTCTCTGTAGTTTGGGAATGAGGCTCAGCAGCTGGAGTGGGCGAAGCGGGAGAGTGAGCGAGCGGAGCGTGAGCGGCTGAAGCGGCTCAGACAGCAGGAGCAGGAGGACCTGGAGCTCGCCATCGCCCTCAGCAAGGCCGAGATGTCCAATGCATGACCTGGAACCCCCAGCACACACACACACACACACACACACACACACACACACACACACACACATGCACACACACACACAGTGCGTACACAGGCTCACGTGTAGACCAACATGACTGACATCTACATGACGGACACCTGCACCTCCATTATTCACACCCCCCCACACACTCACTGAAGATACAGAGAGGGCTTCCAGACGAGTCCGACCTGACATTAAAGAACAAGACGAAGAAGTCATCACTGCAAAACTCCTGCTGACATGAAGAGACGGACGGAGAGGGGGGGGGGGTTCAAAGGAGACAAACGGATGCACTGTGTATATGCACTATAGTGGCTGGACAGTAAGGTGATGGACTGAGAAGATGAGCTGACAGTTTGTATATCAGCGTGTTGTTTTTCTTCTCCACCTTCATCAATGATGGAGAGAATCACACTGACGTCAACAGCTGCTGCTGTCAGCGGCTTAAGAGCAAATCCAGAAAAATAACACACAATCCAAACTGCCAGTGGATTTCTCCTGATGGATAGGTGTGACATGGAGACATGGAGACATCTGTGGGCTGCTGATCTAGGCTGTCAGTTAGTGTTGATGTTGAGCTGTTTTTCTGGCAGGAACTGAGGTGTTACATTCAGTGTTTGTTGATACAGACACAGAGAGATTTCCACTCCTCAGGATCGAGGATTTTCAGTTGAGTTCAATCTGATTTTCAGAATCAGGGGCCACTGATCTAGGCTCAGATGAGAAGTGAGACGGTCCATATTAGTTGAGTTTGTTTTCACTTCTGCTGCCTGGTTACCTCTCCTTCTGCTTTGTGCTAAACTCTGTACTGCGAGTACTGAAATGAAATTGTTATTGATCCTCTCTTCTGACTCTGGGTGCAGAGGTTCCCCAAATATTAAGTTTTCTTTTTAATTTTACACCACACCAGGGCGTCAGGAGGGGCCTGCTCTCTGCCCTGAGAACCCTTGGTCCCTGGTCCAGAGCATCTAGAATGACCCCCCCCCCGGCTCCTGTGTGAAGCCAACATTAGTGGGATATGTTCACATATGTTCACTCTGGTTAATATGGCTGGAACACTGGTTCCCTCTAATGTGAGCAGGCAGAGTTTCAAGTGTCAACATATCCAGTAAGAAACTGTACAGATGTATTTTCTGTGTCCAGAGTGTGAGGCTGTCGTGTGGAGAGTTTTCTGTGATGACCTCCTGTGCCCTCTCTCCTGCTGTCCAGTGTACATAGATAAACTATGCCTCTTCTCAAAAGCTGTACTCTGATCCCGATGCTGTGAAGGTGAACCACATCCAGGTGAAAGGCAAGATTTCTTATTTTTTCTACATTTGACCTTGTTTTCTTTTTAGAGCGAGGATTTTAACTCTGTGTTTATTCCACGAGCTGGTTGTCGTCATTAATGTGATTCTTTTGACACGTTTTTGTTTTAAAAGATCATCAGAATCCATGTGGTTGTTTTGTGCTGTGTCTTGTGGTTCAGTGCTGTACACACCAGCAGGCTCACGCTGGAACTTCAGGTGTCTTTCAGCTGGAAACTGGAAATATGTGAAAAAGTGCTTTTTCTGATGTGTCATAGTTTGGATTTAACCACTCACCTTGTTGTTCTGTTGGTTGTCCCTTTACTTGAAGTGGTGACTGATCACCTGACTCTGGAGTTTGATTGGACTCTGAACCCCTTTGCTTCACATGTTTTATATCTCTGAGTCTGTTCTGTGACCAATCACACCTGATCAGCTCAGAGCACACCTGTTCTCCTCCACGTTACTTTAAGGGATGACGGATTGAGATGTTTGAGTCATTGAGTCATTACCATAACCTGCTCTTACATTAGATTGTATTAGATTATTGACATCAGCAGCAGGACCATCATGCACTGCTGGACGTCTGGTGACGGAACTGGAACATTTCATCTCTGATGTTCGTTCAGTTTGTTACAGGAAGAATTTAGAAAATACAACTTCTCAACAGCGTCTGAGGCAGAAAAGAATGACAACGAGAAAGAAGAAATTTAGTAAAATCACAGATGACGCAGCTTTTCTTCACAGCAGAGTGACTCAAGCTGCCGCTGGGAGCTGGACTAATGAGTCTGTAATATAGTTTCCATCCACCGGGGCAGCACTGAGTGGGTCAGGACTTTCAATCATGTTTTTTCATCTACACAGACCTGATGTGTTGAACTCTGCCTCAGATGTTTAGAATTGTTTGATCATATGTTCATAACAGATATAATGAACGCCTAATTTACCAAAATGGCTACATCACACGTGTATCTATCTAGGACTATGATCCATAATATGATGGCCCTGGATCAGGACTGGGCCTCTGTAGAATGATAACAAGCTGTATCTTTAGTTTAACTGAAGGACAAACAAAATACTTTTTAATCCTGTAATTTAACAAAGGATCATTATTAACAGCTGAGACAGTGTGAAGCCTCTGAAGAAGGTACTGCACGTTACTCAGTTCTGTTGTTCCTCCCCAGTGAAGAAGACTGAGGAGCTCAGTGACTGGAGTATTGAACAGGTATCGCTCACCTGTCTGTCTTGAGGAAAAATGCTTAACTGCTTGTAATGTGAATTCACCCAGAGTGGACAGAGGTGCTGGAGTTGATGTTCACTGATTCTGTCAGGTAGAAGTGTAAACTGCCTCTCTGCCATTTTTGTCTTGTTTACATATCATGAGTTTTTACTTTGCTGTAGCTGTTACAGTGTGTGTTCCTGTAGGAGACAGTGTCCTGGTGCTAGTGAGCTCCTCCCTCTGAGCTGTACGCAGCTCCACGTGAGTCATAAAACACATACTGGCTTTTTAACCTTCTCTCAAATCTTTTTTTTTTTCTTTGAACAAAATAAGCCAGAGTTCTGAAACGTTAAAGTTGTCTAAAATGAGTAAGATAAAAACAGGAAGTTACAATATGATGAATCTGGCCGTGTATTTGATGCTAGAGACACATTTCAGTGTGACCTGTGACCATCCATCTGTCTGACGTGTTTGTGAGCTCAGCCTGCTGCGTGCTGCTCAGAGAGACGAGTCCACACCGGTACCGTCATTCATACTGTACCTGTCATCTGATACCTCCGTTGTGCAATAGATAATGTTTATTTTTATTGTTGTTTTGTGTAATCTGTGAAAGCAGTCTGATGTTTTTGATATGTAGCGTCTGTTTTTAACATGTTTATTTATGCACCTGCTCTGTCCCGCCTCTGTGGAGGACGTTTCCCGCTCGCTGCAGAATCTGAAAACCTTGGATTCCTAAATGGTCTCAGTCTGTTTCAGGAGAAAATGGTAACACAATGTTCATTACTCAATATTTTAAATTAGCAGCAATGTTACTATTTAAAAAAAGAGCTATTTATAAAGTAACGGCTGAAAAATGACTAAATTCCTTATGTTCATCTCTCTCATGGGGGATATTTCATTTAGGTAGGAGCCTTTTAATTCTGTCTGTACTCATGTGCTGCAGCTTCATAGTGAGCAGCCTGGACTGACTGGGACTCATTTCATTCATTTCACTTTTTCTTCTGAGGCCTGTTGGATTTTTCTTTTCCTGCCTTCCTCAGCTGTCCTTCCTCACACGAAGGTGAAATAATCTGAGCTGTCTTTATTGAGATGCATACAATGTGTATACAGTGTGTATAGTATCATGTCTATTATATTTGTCCCATAAAAAGTGAAGAAGAAGAAGTAAACTTGAAGAGGATTACTGACAGTTACACTAATAGCTGAGAGAACAGATACTGGTTTCTTTTGAACAGTGATCCTCTCTACATGGTCTGTACTGTTTACTAGAATAAACATTTCAGTTCAATCACACTGGACCTGCGTCATTTGTCACAGGAGACCGGCTGAAGAGAATAAGATTCCTGCAAAATCCAGAGACCATCAGCATGTAGCTGTTCTGTGGTCATTACTACATTATAACAGGAGTACTCTGTATTCAATCTTCAGAACATAACCATCGTCACACTCAGCCTTCAGTTTGATCTCAACCACACACCTGTAAAGTTTCATGACTGCATCTTGTACAGTTGTGATGTTGTCATGGTGATAACATCTGTCCACAGACAGACAGACACCTGTCCTCAACACCTCCTCTGTGGTAGTTCCTGCTGCTGTAGGTGTCTCCAGGAGCCTGTTTGACAGAGAGATGTCAGACTGCTCTGTTGTGTTGGTCCAGTCACAGATCAGTCTGATGTTAGTCAGACTGTTTCACAAAAGTAAAGACTGACTCATTTTAAGACAAAAACATTAGACACCTTACCCTCAGGGTATTGTCTGTCCCTCTGTACATGTCCCATAATGCAGCATTTGGCTCACTCCCTCAAACTCCCCACCCCCAGTTTGTAACATCATCTTTAAGTTTGTAGTTCCCAGACAAACTGAGATAAACCTGATGACATCACTGTGACATCACCAGGGTTATATTCTCAGACTTGACTAACAGAAGTGTGAAAACCAGTCTGTGTCCCCAGTGTTTGTTTTAAAGCTCTGCTCTACACAGGAAACAATGCAGGAGCAGGATATTTCAGAATGTGTCCTGTAATCCATTTTTTTTGTCTTAACTGGAAAATTTTGTGTTGCATGTTCACGTTACACATTTCTGACATTTTACTGTGCAAAGTGTCCCACAGGTCCACTTACAGTACTCCATTGTTGCAAACAGCACAAAACAAAACAGTGGTGTGAGTGTATGTTGATCTTCACCACAGCCCTGATGATGACTACACCAGAAACACTATGTTGCACATTGAAATGATCCTGATGTTTTATTACATCTGCCAAAAAAGTCTCACCTCGGTCTGTTATAAAGAGACGGTCTAGACCTGAAGAAAAAATGTCTGTCCTGATTCAGACAAATATAGATCAAATTTAATTGTTTATTTGTTTGTCAGCAGATTCACACAAAAAGTAATGAACCGATTAGCACCAGACTTGGTGGAGGGAAATCTGGATGGATTGGATCTTGATGTGAGAAATCAGACACATTAATGGTGTTGATCAGAGTTTGTAGAATATGGT